CACTAAAGTTTGATTTTTCATATAACATTGTACATTAACTTTCCTTTGAAAACACCAATTCTAATTTATTTTGTAGAGAGCAAATGAATACATTTCTATCTCGAAAGCGGTTGTGATCGCCTTGTGCATATTCGTTGCATTTGCAGGTAAGAAATGGGTTCATGGCATGCATTGCTAGAAATACCAGAAACAAACCCAACATGTATATGTTATTATAGAATTTTCATAAGGAACTATTTGTCCAGTCATTTGGTATATGTTAGGTTTCGCGTCAGCTATATACAGTGTTTAGTGGATACGTTGGGTAAATTCAGCATCATTACAATAGCAGATTAATTTTTCGGCACAAGATGCACATTTCGACAATAAATATATCTTCAGTGATGCTCGAGACCAAAATATTTACAAATCTAAATATTATCAAAAACACGAAGAGCTGATAAACAAAAAAGAACATTAAGTTATTTGACTAAGTGTATTATATGATTGCCAATGATACAGCTATCATTGCTCTATGCGCAGTGTTGCGATATTCAATTTGCCTTTATACTTTATGTAAACAACGACCCATACATGTAACATGTGTAAATATAAATTCAGCTTTAGATTAAGAACTATATTACATGTAGTGTCCTGATTAATCAACACATTAATTAGATAACCCTTTTCGACCGTTTACTAGATTTTGGTTATATTCCACAAAAACTGTTGAAATGAATATGAAATTTTTCATCATTTTCTATCTATATAAAAAGTAAAATAACAAAAATACCGAACTCCAAGGAATTATTCAAAACGGAAAGCCCCTTATCTATATCAAGGGAAAATTGAATAAAAAAAAGACATGAATATTTCGAGATCATAATTGATTGACAACTACACATGTATCATAGATTATCTTTAATACTTGAATAGCATCCTAAACAAAATGTACTAGTGGAAACGAATGAACTGCTCGAACTTTGTTTAATGCAGAATTGCTTTTAGGTCTAGAAAAGCCACGAATAATGTCTGTATCAAGACAAACTTCATATTCAATCGAGGTACATTGGGAAAAACCAGTTGAGATCAATGGTAGATTATTGAGTTATGATTTACAGTGGAGAAACAGAGCAACTGGCGAAGAATTGAACAGGGTCGTTGACTGTGTAACTAACACTCCAGTTTACGAGAATATATTAGGTGCTAGTATACATGTACACTTAAAATTAAAGTAGAGTAATAGTTAGAAATCTATTCATTATGAAAAAAACCTATTTTAGGTTCGAAATGTTAAACGTTTTAATTCTGACAATGAAATGTATGTCTATAATGATTCATTCAGGTTGTCTGTGATAGATGCATGTTATAGGAGATGCAAATTAAATACAGACCAGTTACTGACATGGAAAGAGCCAGTTAAACTTTCAAATACGTGTACACCTTTTGTATGATAAGCAGATTTCATGTATTCAGATGCAATATAAAAATAAGGAGATGTGGTATGATTGCCAATGAGACAATTTCCCACCCGAGTACAAATGAAGAGGGTGTAAGTAATTATAGGCTATTGTACGGCCTTTAGCATTTAAAAAAATCAGCTATAAAAGGCCTCGACATTAAATATGTAATACAAACTCACTCTTCTTTTCAATTGTGGATACGCTGAACGAATAAAAAAAGATTTTTTAGTCATGTTTGTTCCGGAGGTTTCCCTTCGTAAATCTAAATGTCTGGCCTTTAAATATTGACCAGTTGAATGCCGCCGACATCAGCAATTTCAGATCCTAATAAATATTATTGTGTTCACTTGTTGTTGTCTATAATACGGATTAAATATTTTCCGTTTACCAACCGTGATCACTTAGAAAAAGGACTCATAGTTCACCAAATATTTTTTTTAAAAAGCCAATTTTACAACGACACTAGCTAATAACTTTAATAAATTAGAAAATAAGAAAAGAAAGGGAAACTTTTTACTATAAACAAATTGACTCGAATTCGCGCTTTTTTTTATCAACATGCTTTGTTAATCATAAGTCATATGTTCATATAACGTCAGTTATATAGTTGTTATATTTCAGAGCCCTTATGTATACACAGTATGAAATAAGGGTAAGAGCTGTAACTGCTTTTAGAAAAGGTGAATTTAGTGACAATTACCCTGCATTAACAGTCATAAAATTTGGAACAAAAACAGTATATATACAATGGCTACAACCAGAAACAGTGTACCGCAGTGTTGATGCATATATGATTGAATTTGTCAATATTGACTCTGGTTTCAAGAAAATGGACAAGATTGCACCAGATCAATTCAAGGTACATTGTTCATTGCAGCATTAAAAATACGGCAAGCTTGTGGCTAAGAAGAAAAGTAAACTATTCATCTCTATGCACACAATTTGAATCAATATTTTTTTAATGTTTTTAACCTTCTACCGAGGTTTAGAAGTATGGTTACCTGGACTCCCATCCAACAGACATTGATGGACGGCGCGTAAGTTTGCCTATGCGAATGTAAAAAAAACCGCAGCGGTTTTTTTAAGAGGAATGTAGACGCTGCGTAGTGAGAGTCATGTAAACATCAGTAAATCCATGCACAAACACGGTATGGAGTCCTTAAAATGAAATTTTGCATGGCAAATTTCGGCCCATACGAAAAAACACTCTTTCTAATCAAAAGTCCAAACCACCCACTTTATGTTTCGGGCGGTCATTGGCAAAATTTTATAAAAAATACTTGTTTTATGACAATTACTAAACTTATTTAGTAGAATATTAAGTCTTTAATATTAAAACCGCTAGGTTTCATTAGCCCTTGAATATGGACACTGTAAGTGAAAGATAAACCAAGAGAAAATTGTTGCAGCTGATACAGAGTTTACATGTATGTTGTAGGTTGTTACATCAGCTGGATTAAAATGGGTTGAAACTTCTGTAGAGCTACCGTCTAACACCCTATATTCTGCTAGAATCGCAGGACTTACTGTTAGCTTGTATTATTCTTCCGAGTATCTAGGAAATTATTCCGAGTTTAGATTTTTGGAATTAAAAGGTAAGTTTGTAAGGAATGTAAATCATGGCGAGAAAAGTGCATCTTATAGGTAATTGAATAAGCTGCTATCTGTGGTTTTTATTAAGAACAACATGTATCGATGATTTAATTTAATAGCGTTCAGAGTTGAAGAGCGATACACATAGCTTCATGTTGGTTGATTTTACAAAGACTTAAATTATAGACTGACTCGAAGAAGATCCAGCATAAAGATACAAATCTTAACATTCTTCAGACTCAATTTGTGTCTAAAGTTTGTACAAATAAATGTACAATTACAGTGTTTTATTACAAGATATGTATGCACATTGTATTGGTGAATTTCATAATTAACTGAATACACGAAATGCATTTCATGAAAGCAGTTGTTTGTTGAAATGTAAGTAACTATTTCATATAAATAATATTTAAATGCTAAAGTAATTCAAGTATTTTTACTACATTTTGAATTTGTACAGATACCACAAATTAAGACTTTATAACAGGCGATTGTTTTGGTTTTTTTTTTTTATTCATATCAATTCTATTAATGTACAAATGAATAGCTAATTCGTTACAATATTATTTTGTAGATCAAAAGACAGACTTTCGAAAGACACCTTAAACCCTTTGGGAATGCATAATTAGATATAAAAAAATGGTCTCAATATATGCATGTTTAAGTGTTCTAATTTCTACTTATTTCAAACAGATATTCTTATATTCAATAGTTTTGCCAACCAGTGGTAAATTAAAAGCAATAATTTAGCCTACTTGGAGATATTGTTACCGTTACACCTCACAAGTTAATCTGAAAAATACCCTTTTATTCATAAAATTGGAATCTTGCTCATCATATTTGCTACTAAACTTGTTCTCTTTTATTATGTTCACGATAAAGGGCAAAAAGGAACAAAATGCGCAATAACCTTTTATAGTTGACTGTGCGGTATGGGCTTTGCTCATTGTTGAATCCGTACGGTGACCTTTCGTTGTTAATTTCTGTGTCATTTGGTCTCTTGTGGAGAGTTGTCTCATTGGCAATCATACCACATCTTTTTTATAATAACTCGTATCAGAAGTTGACTGATGATTTTGATCATAATGGACAGTATGTAAATCTAGACATTCTGGACATTTTAGCTTGTGTCAGATTCTTCCTATCTACTACGGTTTTCATAATAATGGACTAAACTTGCATCTTACATCTATGTTATATTTTTAAACATGTCGCCCATATTGATTGATGAGCAGGATCATCTAACAAATTAAAAAAAAAGAGTTCCCAAAAATGACGATTATGCCTAAATTTTGTTCCAATATGCCGGTAGTTTCATAAAATATTTTTATAAAGGTTAACGTACAACGACGGACGCCAAGTCATGGCAATAACTGAAACTGGCCTTCTGGACCAGATGAGCTAAACGGAAAACTTAAATAATCATGGTATATTGCATTTCATATCATCTAGTACATGTAAGTACAGTCACAATTAATGAAAGAATCCATGCATCAATAAAGGAATCTTATTGATAAATTGTTATGCAACATTACTTGGTGAAAGAAAACCCCGTAGTCTTTGGCTTTATACACGTTCAAAGTTTCAGTCATGGCGAAAATAAGTAACAAATATAAAACCTTATTTGCTGCTTGCTACAATCACTAATGCTGCATTTTACTGAAAATATTCTATATATAGACATTTCTATTGTTATGCATTCCCAGAAATCTCTGCAACTACATTTCCTGAATATATGGCGTTTTCCGTGATTACAGAAGATAGGGCCTCACCAGTACCATATCAGTACCTTTGTAAAAAAAATTGAATAAATCTCAGCTTTTATATATCTCAAATGACCAATAAAGTCCATAATCTGACGAATGATTTGCGAAAACTGCATGCGGAAAGTTTTACATCTTTTGTGGATAAAACATATTGATAAGCCTGTTATTTTAGAAGTTAGAAAGGAAAAACTACTCAATATCATGTTTTAAAGGATGCACAGAATATTTATTTCATTCTACAATAGTTTGTTTATGACATGCACTACTCCGTTCTTTGTGATAAGATCTGGCTTTGAAATACCACTGTCGTTCACTGTTATATTTCCTGTAAATGATAATAATAACAATACTATACATTCAAAAATACAAGTGCAGTTTTTAAGGCCATAACTGGAAAATGTTTTTCTATCATAAAATGTTTGTTTAATGGAGATCGTGCTGTTGCATTTGTCAACGAAACCTTCGAGTAACACAATTTCAACTACGAGCGCCTCGAGAGTATTCAAACTTTTAAAGGTAGATTGATTGTTTGTTGGTGTTTAACGCCACTTTCAGCAATATTGGTTATATCGTGGGGGTCAGTTTTGTTGGTGGAGGACTATTTAAAGCACTCGGGCATCAAGTCCCCTTACTGTTAAAGAGTGTACTTTGTTTGTGTATATTGCAAAAAAATTAGTTCAAATAGATTGGAAAGTTCTTTGATCAAATATTTATCAAATCAGATTCAGAATGTTCGTTTGAGTTCTACGGTCTTTTGATTCACATTTTTTCAAGAAGTATATCTTAGTTTTTAGACTAAGTTTGGTTTTAGATAAACTACACTTTTATGTAAATGAACTATCGATTTGTAATATTTAAACGTTTTCAATGGGTGTTATTTACCCGATAACCAATTAAATTATTTGTGTGTTTCAAGTACAAAAATGTATTCTTTTGATACTCAGCTTTATGAATTGTTTCAGACACAAATTCAACCTGATTTCAACAAAAGGACATATGCACGTACACACAAAGTTAATTATTAGGTCTTTCCACTTTTCCGTTTCTTCCGCCAAATTTTGTTATCGCGTAAAATTTTTGTTTCGCAATATGTCGCTAAGATATTTCTTATATAGTTTCATACAGTTTATGCGCTTTTTATTTTCACCGATTCGAAGCTGAACAATTTTCATTTTAAGAGTTATCTCCATATTCACTGTTTATCATGTGGGTGCATCTTCTTTGTAACAAAAAAAGATATCGACAAAATTCTTTTTCTAAATTGTTCGTTACATCCTCAGGAATTTTTGGCTAATTTGGATCGAAGCGATTCGATGAAATTTTAAAGGAGTTATCTACCTTTATCAAATAAATTTGTCAATATGTTTTTTCAACTCATAAACCGTTAACCGTATAACCCTGGAATCTTTTTATTTGAGGTCCCTAGGTTCTAACTTAGAAAATGAGGTCAAGGTCAAAGGTCAAGGTCAAGTTCTCAATTTTGACCTTTCCTTGTTTTTGCATTTTCTCAAACACTTTTAAAGATATATATGAAACAACAAGTGCAAAATGTTTGCTTTATTGTAATGAAGATATGGTATATTTGGTCTGAAACAATCTAATGACATCTTATAAGAGTAAGTTACTTGAAATGTCCAATTATAAGGTTAATTAATTATTACTTCAACTTGGTTCATTATAAAGCCATATGACCTTTTACAAAAGTTTGGATGACATATGACCTTGAAGAATGACAATCGGAAGAGACCTTGAGAAAACTGGAAGTAGCCATTTTTGCACTTTCTTCATGGAAAAGTACTCGGAATCCATATATTTTGTAATCTTAATACATTGACTTATCACTGAAGACTAGAAATGACTTTCGATAAACCGGAAGTGGCCAATTATCTCCTGGTTTACAAGCAAAAGTATATAGAAACACTATATTTTTGGAATCAGTGGGAAAGAAACTATTATATGAGACCGGAAGTAACATTTACTTCACCAGAAGTAGCTAATTATCTTCCTTATTTCACTCAGAAGTATATAGAAACCACTTATTTATCGCATCAGTATGAAGAAACTGATGATAAGATGCCAATTTTAACTGAGTAAAAACGAACTAGCTTCTTTTCAATAAATTTAAAAATTGCTGTGGAAAGACCTTAGAGAACAATTGGTTTTTAATTTTTTCTTTTCTTCCGTCTAATTTTTTTTTTTCGTTGTTTTATTGTTTTATAAGATGTCGCTTATATTTTTTGAATATGATATCGTACAGTTTATACGCTTTTGAAACTAACTCTGCTTAACCGAACACTTCACGTTGTAAGAGTTATCTCCCCAAACACTGTTTTTCTTGTGGCCACTACTCCTTTGCAACCGTAAAAGTTTACGACAAATTTATTTTACCAAATTGCTCGTTACATCTTCAGGATTAGGATGACCATTCGGATCGAAGCTATCCAGAGACTCCATATTAGTTATTCCCCCTTATGCATTTGATATAAGTGATATGCATTTCTAACTGCTATACCATAAGTGATAAAGACTGATTTGAGGTCCTTGGTCCAAAAAAATGAAAATTAGGTCAAGGTCAAAGGTAAAGGTCATATTCTAAATTTTGATTTTGGCTTATTTTCACTTCTTTCCAAAAACCGTATAAGATATCGACAAATTATTTTTACTAAATTGTTAGTTGCGACATGTCGTAACACGTAAATTTTGATTGCAAGGGTACGTTGACCGTAAAGGAGAGTTTTCTCCCTTTTTATATTTAAAATTACATGTATAGTGGTATAACTCATTTACCAAGTATAATAAAGACCTAGGGTAATTTGTTTAAAGGTCCTTGGTTTATGACTGAAATTGAGCTCAAGGTCAAAGTTGAAATTGACGATCTAGATTTTGACCTTTGCTTTAACTTCATATTTAGACACGATAAAGCCATGGGACTCTTTTCATTAGGTTGCAATTTACATGAGCTTGAAAATCCAACCAGAAATTACTTTGTGTCAACCGGAAATAACTTTGTTTTGTACTTATTTGATGTAAAAGTATATAGAACCATATATTTTTGGAATCAGTGTCAAGTAAACTATCAAATAATACCGGAAGTGACATATATCAGACCGGAAGTAACAAATGATCTCCCTTATTTCAATAAAATTCTTTAGAAACCATATATTTTTGGAATCAGCGTACATTAAGGTATCATTTGACACTTTATATGACACTTTAAACCGTATCTTAATATTTTCATATCAAAATGAATCGTAAGAAGTGGAAAGACCTTCAATTGTTCTCTGAACAATTGGTTTTTAATTATAATAAATATACGTATCTATTTTAGTACTACTTACCAGGACTAACATTTATTTTAATTCTGCTGCCTTGAGATGTGAACAAGTCTTGTCCATTTACTAGGTCAGCAGTGAAATAGACAGAGTTGACAATCAAGCTCGAAACAAAATCTTAAAAAAGAAAATATGGGAAAAAATCAAGCAATAATCATTATCGCGAAATTTTAATTATAGAACATTTGATATAAGTTATATGAAAATAAACTTATATTCCATGATTATGTGTTTTGCTTTTTTGGCTATTTCAAAGTAGTTTAAACTGGATTCACAAGTTTTGAAATGAAAAATATATAACTGTTAATAAACGCGGAGAAGATGCATCCCCCTTTTTCCTTCAAATTAGATTATTTTCCATTAAATATACCATAATTTTATTGCTTTATGCACAGTTTTCAAGACGTTTTGTACAAATAGGTAAATACATGTTTTAAGCATCACCTAAAATCCAAACTATCTATAGGGGTAAATTCAGTAAATAAGTATACGTCATCAGGGACCGCCCATTTGGGGAAGAGCTTTCTGTATAACACTGAAGTCCTGTGCTCCTCGGATTGGTAGATAATGTTTGTAATTAATATTTTTTGATAAATGGATCAAAACTGAGTTCGAAAAATGAAAAAAATGAATACTAAATGCACTTATTTTTTACTACAGGGCTAAAAAGTAATGGGGTCAGTATAGGAATTAAGTGCGAATCTACAGTGTTTGTAAACAAGGCCATGTGAATGCCCAAAATGCCGCATGACCCTATGTTTTTATTGTTGCAAAAGATAGGACTACATTTGTACTTTAATGAATGATATATGAAAGCTTCTGATTTCTAAAGGTAAACCAGGTATAAATTTAATTCAAGACATAGATTTGCAGTATAGTCAATGAGAGATTTTTTACTGAATTTACCCCATTAGGATTACAGGGCTCTACAAAGAAAAGGGAAGGAAACTGTTACAATACAATTGAGAATGGAAATGGGGAATGTGTCAAAGAGACAACAACCCGACCAAAAAGCCAAAAAACATCTATTACTAATGACTAACTACCACAAAACCAAATTAAACATAATACACAACACTTTTTATCAGATAACTTTCAATAATATAGAAATATACTTGGTTATATTGTTTCTAATCGTGATTTTGTGTTTAAGACTTACGAGCTATAGCTGTGTCGTTCATTAATAAATTAGTCATATTAAAATTAGGAGCTGCATCAAACGCCTCGTCATTTGGAACAAACATGGTTATGTTCTGTGCTATAACAAAATAAAACATAAGAACATTTGCAAACCATGCATAAATATAACAATTGATGCAGTAACTAACTTTAAAGGTTATCTTTCCCCTTTAAGCCATGCAAGAAACTAATTAATTTGGCGTCTGTCGTTAAAATGCTGTCGGTTAATGTGAAGCGACTAAGACTTTGAGTTATTGTGCATGATGACTTGAACTCATAACGTTTTAAGGTTGTTCTCCTCTTATATTTGATGCGTTTCCCTCAGTTTTAGTTTGTAACCCGGATTTGTTTATCTCTATCGATTTATGAGTTTTCGAACAGCGGTATACTACTGTTGCTTTTATTTAAATCAGACAGGATAATCATGTTATATTTTGAATATTATGTGCGTTTCCATAAATATCTATACCAAAGTTATAAAAAAAAAACATTACGTAGAAGCTGGCCTATCGACTTTTCATGCACGGTAAAATCAACATTTTTACTGATTTTATCGTTTTTGTTCATCATTTTAAAAACTAAACTATGTTATAGATGAACAGACACAACACACTAACAGTTATCAGTAATTCATGATGGACAAAAATCAAAATATAATTGAAACCGTTAACTGTCTACATGTGTAAAGGAGTTATTGAGTCATCATCGTCACTACATGTATCATCAGCATCTTCATCGCCATTGTCGTCATCACGAAGAAGCAGAAAAGTGTTTTTTTCCACATTTTTATCAATAAAATATTTTTGAAACTTACACATGTTACATGTACATTCAATTCGATAACTACGGTCAGTATTGGACTGATTTGCTTAAATGAGATTACAAAACCATTTAAAATCAAATAAGTCACACACACAGCTGCCTTTTATTTATTTTTATTGAAACTTGAATAAAAAAGAAAAACCCTGTTTTATATAATGTACAAATACCTTTCAGTTGATCATGCAGACCACCTTTATCAATTAATAGTGACATCTTGGAAAGATTTTGGTGTTCGTGTACGTATTGAGTCGTGTAAACTTCGGGGAATCTGTAAAGCATCCGGTCAATGACATGGACAACACCATTGGTGGCAGTATTATCTGGACTCGTTATATTTGCGCCAGAGATAGTGTGAACCTGTAATGAATTTGTCATTTCTCAAAAGTCGCGGTAATCATTTGGGGTTACCAATTCATTTTGTAACTATAGATATAAGAAGATGTGGTATGAGTGCCAATGAGACAACTCTCCATCCAAGTCAAAATTTATAAAAGTAAACCATAATTATTATAGGTCACAGTACGGTCTTCAACACGGAGCCTTGGCTCACACCGAACAGTAAGCTATAAAGGGCCCCACAAAATTACTAGTGTAAAACCATTCAAACGGGAAAACCAACGGTCTAATCTATATAAAAAACGAGAAACGAGAAACACTTATGAACCACATCAACAAACGACAACTACTGAATATCAGATTCCTGACTTAGGACAGGTGCAAACAAATGCAGCGGGTTTAAACGTTTTAATGGTACCAAACCTTCACCCTTTTTCTGAAACAATAGTGTAACATCACAACATAGAAAGACACACTATAAAATATCAACTGAAATAGCTTAACTCAATCAAAGGATATATTAACACCATTGAAAATACACCGAACAAATAAATTTGACCTATGACACAATGTAAATACAAAATAAATAAACTAAGGGAAGAATAATAAAAGTAACATGTTATATCGGTAAGAAATGTTAAACAATTAAAGAAAAACAATATGCTGGAACAAAAATATCAGCCATTTGCAATAACTTTAAACACAGGTAAATGAAAATAATTTTGTTATTAGGTATACGTGAACAGTACCAATCGAGAAAGGAAATATTTTTACAAAATAAATAATTTTGATGTTCATAGTACGAAGTGAAAATTAATAGTTATACCAAACACTTATCAAAGCCGGTATATAGACCAGATATAACCCTGAATAACATTAAATAACAAAAAAGCAATACAATTAGTATCAACAGGTCAAATAAACAAGAAAGTACGATTTGAGAGTACTCGCAGTTACTGACAGCTAACAATTAATAATAAAAAATCATGCATCAGAGACTAAAATCAACTAAAACACATCCCAGGGATTTAGTATTTTAACGTCATGGACAGTCAAAGAAGACATGACTAGTGCAATGCCAAAAATAAATGTATCGACAGACAGTAGGATAGTTAGGAGTTTAACCTCTTTATAGATCTAAACGAACGTGGGTGTGTCTTTATACATCCCGCTTGAAAAAAATACAAATTTAGTTATGTTTTAATTTGCTGATGACAAAATCGATATTAGTGCCAATGTAAACTATATTCAAAGATCTAATAACAACATTGGTAAGATGTTGTTTTTACAATTAGTATGTCCAGTTTTGTGATGAATGCTTTAGTTTTAAGTACAAAGTTTAATAATAAAGGTATGACAATTTCCTACAAGACGTGTATTTGCAAGACGTTGCCACAAGTATATGCTCTAATATTTCTTTAATGACATTGTCAAGTTAAAAAAAGAGAGGCGAAAGATACTAGAGGGACATTCAAACTCATAAGTCGAAAACAAACTGACAACGCCATGGCTAAAAAAGAAAAAGACCAACAAACAATAGTACACAAAACACAACATAGAAAACTTAAGACTGAGCAACACGAACCTCACCAAAAACTGGGAACTATGGACTCTACGTATACTTTCATATTTTATGTTGTATTTCTTTCTGTCTTTCTTATCGTCCTTTTTCTTATTTTTGTTAAAGAAAGGGTATAAAAAATATTAATCAATTATCAAATTCCTATAAGCGGTAAAACGACTTACTGGCGACTCGCATTTTACAAATAAATTCAGAGATTTATGTCACAACTAAAAGACCAATTAAAATGAAATTAAACTCGTGTAATACACGAACCACACTCATTTATAGATATCAGTTTTTTTGTCAAAACAATGTAAGCTTTCATGACCATTTTGTATTTTCATCATTATTAGTCAATACTTATAAATTGACCGATAGAAGGCTTCATTTAGCACTTTCATATAAGAACAAACGCAGTTATTATAGACGTCATTGGTAACAAGCTAATCATTGACTTGCCATAAGAGTATAATTTGTCTGAGCTTTGCCTGTTGTCTTCATTTTTCATTTATTTTCATATATTTTCATATTTATAAAACTCTTATATCTTCATACTATACTGTTCAAACAAAGAAAAGCATAGCTCGGATGAATTTTTCAAAATGCAAAATATATATTTTACAAGGTAAAATGAAACGGTCAATTCATCTTCGAATTTTTACAGGTTAGTTTTAAATTTAAATGCCCGTTCTTTTGATTTGGCTCTCTGCCACATGAAATTTGCGACTCGCTAAAAGTGCATATGACCTTTTGCTAACGTTTTTCACGAGAATTTTGTGGTCAACTTAACTGTTACACTTTTGCGCATATAAGGACCAAGTTTGAAGATTTAATTCATCACAACGTTTAAACGCTGCCATGCCAAGGTTGGACTCTGCTATTCGAAATATCGTCATCGGCCGCCTCCAGGACAGAGTGTCCTAAAGTGAAGTAGCAAGAACTGAAAATATTAACCAGAGCATAATTTCGCGACTTTGGAACAGATACCAGCAGACTGGTTATACTAAGGACCGCCCGAGGAGTGGACGACATCGCCTAACGACTCCTGGAAAAGATCGCTACATCTGGGTATTTCATCTACGGAATCGAACCGTTGCCGCAATAGCCACTACAGTTGGGATAACAGGATTGAGAATAATCAGCTCACAAACAGTCCGCAATCGACTGCGACAACATGGCATTAGACCCAGGTCGTATTTTGGACCCTAATTGAGGCCGTTACACAGACGGAATAGAGTCCGATGGTGCAACAGATTGAGGGACTGGACATTCCGCAACTGGCGCAGAAACTGGTTCAGTTATGAGTCCCGTTTTATGCTTCAGAAACGTGATGGAAGAACTCGTGTCTACCAGCGCATGAATGAACGTTTTGCTTCCTCGTGTGTCCAAGACGTGGACAGCTTCGTTGGAGGAAGTGTCATGATGTGGGTAGCTATCTCTAATGACCGTAAAACGGATTCCGGGTTTTTTAACGGCGTAAAGTTATAGAGACGAAATTCTCCAACCTCACCTGATGCATGTCAATGACTGACAGAGGAAGTTATTCCAGCAGGCCAATGCTAGGCCTCACACAGCGCGTTTAACAATGGACTACCTTGGGCAGAACAACATCAATGTTCTACCTTGACCTTCCAAATCACCGAACTTGAATCCTATTGAGCATCTATGGGACCAATCGGTCAAACGTGTGTGCCAGCTTCAACCCCCCACCTCAGACCCTTGATCAGCTCCGATAAATATTGCAACATGAATGGCGATCAATTCCACGCAACAACATTAGAACATTGATAGCATCCATGCCGAGGAAATGCGTAGCAGTCTTACATTTGTAGCAACGAGAGGTGGTCATACACGGTACTAACTTTAATGGCACCGGAAGTAAATCTAATTGTGATAAATTGACTTTTATTCATCATTCTCGAAGGAATTGACTCACCTCTTCTTAATCGAACACGTTTTGAGTGAATATCTTTATTAGTAATTGTAAAATTTCCATTCAAAATACATGTATTAAAATTCTTAAAAAATCCATTATGCGTTTCTTTTTTTGCTGAGTATATGTTTGCTTGTTTCCCTATATTTGACTGCAAATGGTCTTTTTGCTCACTTATGGGTGCTATAATAGCACAATACAACAGTTATATGTAACAGTAATAGGATTATAACATTTACCTTTGAGTTTCCCTTCGGATACACATTAAATCGAAGTTGACTGTTTTCTAACATCGTATCATAAAGACCATTATTTTGTAGTGAAGGCAATAGAGATATGTCTTTTGTGATGTGATATGACACAATGTCAAATGCCAATTCCCAGTTTCCAAAATTAAAAATTTTCACAATTTCTGGCGGTAAATTATTAATTGCTGCATCACTTGGTGCAAAGACTGTGTATGGACCTAAAATTAATGATATTAATTAAGGAATTAAAAAAAAAAAATTTAAAAATATAAAAACTTACCATTATAAATTATCGAATTAATTGTAAGCATCATATAAATCCAACCTGATTAGAATACAGATCCTGTCTCCAAGCTTTGCTTACAAGGATCTGACAAATCTTGGGTAAATCAGCAATTTCAGTTTGATTTCGCGTTTTATTCCTCCTAGTTTACGTGCACGCGCTATTGTTCTGGAGTCTGTCCTACAGAAATTTGCTTTAAAGCAGTCACATTCTCTCTAATTTTATTTAGGACATCTTTAAATATAAATCACGATCTCCAATTCTCAAAACGTCCAATCACGTGGCATACGCGCGTTTGCAATCCGACACCTCATCAGGGACATTTATCGCGCCATATGACACTTCTGTTTATATTGAACATTTGCGCATCCGAAAACGGATTGCCGGAAAAATAGAGATTTTTAACTATTCATCCGACTAGCCGGAACAATGAACACTCCATATTTTATATAGTCATCAGTTATGACTCTTCGAGGGAATTTCAAAAGAATAACAAGACAGTCGTCTCTAGTGGAGCAGGAACTGCTCACCGTCCGCAATACCTGAAAGAACACTGATTTTATGGTGATGTTTTGTGTTGTTTATTTAAGCGTTAGCAAGGTGTAAAGTATGGTCAAATATAATGCCTACCCATGGCCATGTTAAAATGAGCATAGAGCATGACATGAAGGAATTATTTTGATTCTAATAGGACAGATACGAAAGTTTCATCGGCATGAATATGTACATTTAATTAGGACAAAAATGAAAATAACGAGAACGTAAACATAGAATGAAAACAGTAAGTATGTGCTAATTAAAAAACTGCTTTGTAAGAAAGCGAAATAAGGACGTCATATCAGAATTTAGAGTTACAAATGTATGTGTAGTTTTTTGCGCAATGTTGTTTGTTCGTTTTTATTTTTTTTTTAGCCATTCTTCTTGTTTCCTTCGATTTATAATCTATACTGTCCACTTTGTATCTTCTTTACTCCTGTTGTTAAACTTTCCATGGCAGACATAATGATAATTATTCCAGTGATGTACATGTCTTTATAACATTGCATTTGAATTATTCCCCTTTGTATGTATAAATTGTGTTTGACTATAAAGTATCATTATGATTATAAAAAGAATGCTTTGTTACAAGCTCCACGATCATTTTCATATTTTTTTTAATTGTTGAAATCAGTTAATACATAATTGCAGTCATGAATACGAGTTGATCTATCAGCTTGTTGATGGGCATCAAAGACGGGTCTCAGTTTCTAATAACAATATAAAATCGTTTAAGAGGAAAAGTTGGGTTCTTTACATTGATATATAGAGGACGGGGATATCTATTTTGTTTATTGTTATTGTAATTATTTGTCTTTTTTTTAACATTGGTTGATTAAGTGTTGGCATTTTGGTAAATTAATCGTTAATTTCTTCTATTTGTTTATAGATGCTCGGTCAAGTGTGAAAATACAAATGAATTTAGAATCAATTTCCGAAAGAAAATTCAGTTCATCTGTTTGATTAGAGTTACTATCAACAAAAATTAGTATTACATGCGATGAGTAAGATTGACATGTGGGACAAAATGTCGAACACACATTTATAAGCTAAGTCATTTAAATGTTAATAATATTTTCCATTATTTTCTTAGATTCATTGTACTAACTTTTACACAGGATCCCAACTGCCCGTTTTAAATTTATTTAATTAAGTGTTATTAATAATGATTATAACATTATAAATAACTATAAATTTTAAGATGTATATTACCTGAATGGTCATCGCCGAGGCGGTACATATATCCAGTGCCCTGTAATAAATTGCCGAATGACGTACATCCTATGCTTGATAACAAGTCATATATATCCTCTTTCGAATGAACATTACATATTACAAAACTTGTCAGTAAAAGTCGCAGAAACATTTTACTGTGAAGTATTGACTATTCAGAATAAAACTTACAAACACATTCTACTTATTATCACTGTGTATTTACATCTGATAGGTGATAATAGAATGATATTGAACTTTGAAATAGTGATAAAATGAACAACTGATTGCATTGTTTGTGTATGCTGTAGATATGATTTTTTTTCTATTTCTGACAAATGAATATAAAATAAAAGTTTATGATGATCATAATGATGACTATCACGAGTTCATGTGATTCTCTCAGTTCTTGTTGGTTTCACTGATTGTTTTTCATAATCGATTTGTGAGATTTGAACATTGATAAACTAGTTTGTCCAATTTTTAGCGTGCAAGTAAACAAACTAAAAGGTTAAGAATTAAGGTCAAAAGAGTTTACCGTTTAGGATTTTTTTTCAATATCAAGAATTAAGATATGATAGTTTACTGCTATGATAGCGTTAAATGGTAATGGGAAAACTTTGTAAGGTGCTTGATAATCTTAAATATGTATGATTATTTTTTACTGGGTTTTTTTCTCTACTTTTCTGCAAAATTGCAAATTGAGTAAATGTGAGTTTGATTCCGCGTCATTTTTTGTTTTAAATCTAATTTCTTTGTTTATTTTTTTTTTAAATGACAGAAACCGTTCATTGTCTGCAACAGTAGTGATTTAAATGGCAATTCGAAATTCGGCCACAGATCAGTTTACGTGCATTAGGATGCTCGTGCGGATGACTTAAAACGGTAAGAGTTGGCGATTTTATTGCATATGTTTAAACAAAATTGTTAGGCCATTGATGATAGTAAAGGGTCTACCTATCACAGGGATACCATTCGGTTCTTTTTTACTTCCAGAGTAGGACCGTGGTAATACGAGAATAACAAGATAAAGAAGCTAAAATGTTCAAAATACCAACTTCGGTGGTGCTGAAAATTCTAGAAATCCAGAAAGTATACACGATTGATGGTTGTTTGATTGCTTAACTTCCAGTGACAAATATTTCATTTATATTCAAATAGTTTTACATGCTTGGCTTTGAAGTATTAACGTCTTTCCACTGCGTTTGTAAAGACCTTATTGTTTTTTCTTTTTTTTTGGATTTTTTTTTTTTTCGGAAAACCAATGCTCAAACTAAGAAGATAAACCAAGAAAATACGTTTCAGACGAACAAACTTGAGGTAGGGCCAACTTTCCCTTAATTTATTTTACAACAGGGTTATATTCGAAAAGTCTTTCAATTTTTATTTAAATTCATAGTATCACAACCGAATGTGTGTACTTTAAGATTGTTACAATATTAAGGCTTATTTCTAAACCGATCAGAAAATTATAAACGCCTAAACAAAAGCCTAAAGCCGCAAATATCAAAACCTTCAAAATTTCAAATTTTTAATAATAATGTTGAAATTGGTGGTACATGTTAAAATATCAATTTTAGATGTCTGTTTTATATAACAACTAACGAGAAACAACATATTCGGTAAACCACGCCCTTCCCCAGTTTCTAAGCCTCATACAAAAAAGTTGATATTTGTCTGACATTGACCTAATAACCAAATATTGTTTATAGATGTTTATTCTATCAAATACGTCGAAGCATTGTATAAAGTTATTCGCCTGAATTACAATAAAACAAAGAAATGTATCACATTTATTAAACACCCTGCCAATTGTGATTTAAATATCATCTTTTAACGTGTGTAATAAGAATGACCTTACAGAAGATTTTATTCACACACGAAGATGTCATTTAAAAAACTTGAGTATAGAAAAATGTTTAATAGAATGGATTTATGAATGGCGCTCATTATTTTTCTAATTGCATCAGAACTCATTTTTTCATCTAAAGGTTGGTTATGGATTGGTTTTCTTTTTTTTCTTTTTACGTATTTAATTTTATTATATGCTTTTTATCTTCAATATAAAAAAAATGCATTTCACCACAGTTTTTAGCTCACATAGTTATTTCCTTTTGTTCCGTCTAGATTTTCCGAGTATCTTGGAATCATCCTTATATTGAATTATTGTATACACAGCAATAGAGCACCACGCTTTAAAAGTATACCCTTACACAATGATTTGAAATATATAAAATGTATTAGATATATCTAAAAGCACAACTATTAGTTATTATGTATATAATAATTCGGTAATGGCTATAAACTTTCAACTTCATATCAGCATTATACGTAATGTTGAAGATATTTAGCAAAAAAAAACTCATGACCATGACTATAATACATGACATATACGCCGCGTTCATTTTCATGAAGATATGTGTTTCATAGTGATGCTTGAGATGGAGAAGAGTCACTGAGTCTTTTGTAGACGAAACGCGGATCTGGCGTACACATTTTTACATCGCGATGACCATGAGGTCATATCGATGTATTGCTATCGCCTAAATATCCATTATGCAAATTAGTTTTGGGTTTTCAACCGATCTATAAAAATTATAGATCCGCGGTCACTTATCTAGTGCAAAATAACATTACTTATCGCTTGTTTCAAATTCATTTTTTCAATGGATACTCCTATAAATATTTTTATTAAAACACAAATTAATAATATGAAAATGTGTTGTCGTTAGTTATATATATATAAAAGTAAAAAATCATTGATGATATAAATGCACACGTACCGAAAAATTGTGTTAAAGCTTACGGAAGAATATCTCAAGAACGTTTTGCGACACTCCCGGCAAGGACCGGTAACTCTGTTATTGTTTTGCGGGAAAATATGAATGGCTTCTCATATCCAATCTTTTAGAAAAATCGATTTTTTTACAGAAGAGTGTCCACCATGCACTTGCACTGCACTATAATTAGAATAGTAGAATAGAATGATATATAAATAGATGAAAATTATATATACATGCAACCGTCATATTAATATAATATATAACAACAAACCAGACGTGTATACTCTGACACTATTATCATATTAGTATAATAGTCCCAGGTATACTGATTTGTATCACTACAATATAATAGTTATTACGGTGCGGTTGAATTTCCTGTCATTTATTCATCATCCATGCACGAACTTGTATCAGAAAAAAATATATCTCTGTAAATTAACCTCAGTTTCAGGTATAGAGATGTGATCTATTTCTGTGACATGTGCTTTTGACCATCCACAAGAACCTGCGGTCATCCGATGTTCAGTACTTCAGTACTTTGATTAATCCTGGGAACTATGATGAACTTATTCACTTGTTTAATTAAATTTCATTGCTAAGGTTTGGTTTGTCGTATTGTCAATATATGTTCGTTACTATAACATATAAAATGATTTTTTGCAGTTAAAATTTTATATTTTCATTCATTCATTGGTATATTAACTTTCAGCGGCAGGCCCAGTTTGGACAAACTTAGATCATACTATTAGCATCAATGAAAATATTGCTATATCAACATCAATTTATCAAGTAAATGCTGCTGACGCAGACGTTGGTGATAGTTTAACCTACGAACAAATTCCTCCTGATTCAAAGTTTAACCTTTCCGGTCAAGTAGTGACAATAAAGTTTGTTCCAGATTATGAAACAGACGTCAATGTGTATACGCTTCCATTCCGGTACGTTTAATGTTTTCCTTGTTCATATGACACAATATCAAAAAATGTCTATATTTTGGCAATGGGAAAAACAAAACAAAAAAGAATGTCTATGGAACCTGTATTTTGATAGCACAAAACAATAAAACAAACATTGAGGATTCAAGAATGACTGTGATTTTAAAAGATATATACATGGTAACTATGGCAATGTAAAAATAGTACCAAAAATTCCAGTTCTTTCCTGTTACCAAAGTGACTCAATTTGAAAAAAAAGTGTCTACCGTTCTTTTCAGGCTGCCCCTGCATCATCAGGGTTTCCCTTACCATGCACAGATTAATGAAAATTCCAGCGTGCACCTTCTAACCCCAATTTGAAAATATCTGATGAAAGGAAACAGACGGTTTTTTGCTTGTATAGAGTGACTGGTCCATCGCTGAAAAAAATGAATGTTAGTAGTATTAGGGTGTTTTTCCTTTATGTCAATATTTAGTGGTCGGTTTTATGTCCAGACACCTGAAAGTCCACGCTGAAGAGAGTCTGAAATAGTGCAAAAGATTGATTCATCTGGTTGATCCTTTGTGAAGTAAATACCACTGCGTAATATGTAAGGTTATATGGGGCCGAGAAACACCAAAATGTACACTTTGAATTTCTTCATGAAGTTTTCGTAAATTGTTTTCTGCATAGTCAATATGAATCAGTCTGAGACACTTATTATCATTCAGTTCTTGTCTCAGTTGTTTACGATACTTAAAACTGGTTTTGAAAATTAAAGAAGTTCTTTGTTATTTTAGGTGTAATGAATTTTCAAGGTCCTTTATAGCTGTTATTATATTTCCCTTGTCAGCTCTTTCTTCACAAGTGTGATTTCTTTCTCTTCTCCTGTCTCGAATGTTCTAGATTTTTTAACACTTATCCACTGGTTCCATGTAACCTCTTTATTTTCTTTTATCGTCTTGTTAACTAGTGTCTGATTACAGCAGTGCTTGCACATACCATGCTTGCAATCCTTGTTCAAACTATTGAAAACAACGTCTTTGCAAAGCTTTGACAAATTGTTTGTGTCTATGAATTGTTGTTTTTGAGGCACTCCGTCAAATATCTGCTATTTTCACATTGTTGCAAAGGCATGTTTGTCTATTTTATATGTTGGTGCAACAATCCAAAAGGTACGCAGACGACACAACACGGAATAACTGATTTGGTAGTGCTCATTTTCTGCATTATACTTGTGATGAAGATTTTTCGTTGCATCACACAACAACCTCTCTTGTTTTTTTTTTCACCCCATTACGAGTAACAGTCGATTTCTTTCCTGATGTTAATCTTGAAACCACATCTCTTTGCAAGAACATCACTACATTTGTCCGTAAACGAGTGGTAAGGGAACCTTTGTTATTTCTGATCTTCTTTCTTAAAAACAACTTAGTGTCTTGAATGCTCTTGTTCTTACCTTGTACTTGCAAAGAAAGTGTCCACTTTGAAGCGAAATATTTTTTTTGTCCGTTTGTCCTTCCTCCCTTCCTCTCTCTTCTCATCTGAGTTAACAGTGTATGATGTAATAAAAGTGAACGACTTATTGTTTTTTAGATGTCCGCATAACTTGTCTTGTCTTTCTTCTCCTGGCATTGTAGAGGGCATTTTCATTTTTTTCTCTTTGAAGCTTCTTTCCTAAAGAATTCACCTTTTTCTGAAGAATCTTGATTGTAAATGTCTTCCTCGCTAAATCTCTGTAGCAGTTTTTGGTGGGGTTCGTGTTGCTTAGTCTTTAGTTTTCTATGTTGTGTCATCTGTACTATTATTTGTCTGTTTGTCTTTTTATTTTTGGCCATGGCGTTGTCAGTTTGTTTTCGATCTATGAGTTTGACTGTCCCTCTGGTATCTTTCGTCCATCTTTTAGCAACCTTTGCTTTTTTAGCACTTTGTAACGTTTTGTTTTTGGAGTGTTTTCTTCTTTATTGGTGGTTCTTTCAGATGATATAGTCGGTATTGATGGACCAGGTTCTATTAGCGAGAAGGAGAGGTAGAAGGAGTGACTTTAATTTATTTCTTTAGTTCCTGCTTTTGTTGTCTCCATCTTCTCCTCATGATCCGCTTTTCTCTTCCTGGCATCTGTGCAACATTTTGTCTTTTTTCAGTTGCAAGATCACTTAAATACTTTGACTTTTCTTTTTCTAAATATGTTTTCCTCCTTTCAGGGTTTGTGTCTCATTGTTGGCGATAATGTCTGTGTTTTTCTGAAGCCCTCAATGCCATTGAGGTTCCTGTGAATATAAAACAACAGACAATTAAACATTAAAAATGGATTTTGCTTAGGACTCGTTTTTCATCGACAAACATGAAGTTGATAAAGTAACTCTGACATATTATGATGTTTCATCATGCTGAATCTGTATACCAGTTTTCAAATTACTCCCAGTGATGTTTCCAAGTTTAAGATTGACTGTTATTTATGGGGCCCAAACGTATGAACGGGGCAAACCCTACATGATCGACAACTTATAGGAGGGGCAAAAGATATGAGCATAAATTCATTCATGTTACCATATTTTATTATAAAAATTCTAAGATTTTGTTTGCTGTTACCAAAAGGCCAAAACCTTTTTCCCTATCTAGAGTATGTTTAAATACCCTTTTTGTTGTTAGGGATGAGGGATGAATAAATACCCTGCCACGTCCGGTCTGTGTTTATGTGTGATGTTTTTCTTCTTTAGATCGATCTGATGAGTTAAGCCTTTATCAACTGATTTTTATAGTTGTTCTTATGTTGTGCTGTTACACCACTGTCCCAGGTTAGGGGAGGGTTGAACGCTCACAAACATGCTTAACCCCGCCACATTCTTCAAGTGCCTGTCGCAAGTCAAGAGCCTGTAGTTCAGTGGTTTTCGTTGGTTCATATCTGTCATATTTGTTTTTCGTTAATTGTGTTGGTATAAATTAGGCCGCTAGTTTTCTCAATTTTATTGTTTCATAATTTTCATGTCGGGAACTTTTATAGCCTACTATACGATATGGGTTTTTCTCTTTGTTGAAGTAAGTACGATTGCTTGTTATTGCTTATATCCACTTTATTTGAACTTTGGTGGATAGTTGTTACTAATGAAATAATTTTTCATATATTTTCTAGACATTAAGATATTAAGACTATGCTAAAAACTATAAAATTTGTTTTATTTTAGCAGATTGTTAAGGAAGGTTATTAAAGTATGTTTGTGTTTAAATGTAATTTGATTTAAATTGGAAATGCAATTAAAAATTTCAACCATGTTATCAATCAGGGCTTTATTGTTACGTTTTAATGAATAACTTTGTAGTGAGTTTCTTAAGGAATAAGGATACCTTTAGAGGAGGAAAATTTTCTTTCGAAAATTTTATTTACTATATGACAAATATGCCTGTAACGAAAAGTATGAAAAATAAATTTCTTTCTGTTACCATCTTCAATACTAGAATTGCATGATATTCTCTGCTGTTACTTACAAATTTTTGTCTGTTATCAAAAGTCAAAAACCTGTCTTTTCATTCAAAAGACAGTATATTATTATAACGATTATTTGATATGATAATGATAACTTACATAAGATGAATGGTTTGGCAGATAGTAGGTTAACTTTATGTTTCATCAGTAAAATTCTCTTTAACATCCTTCCCGTTACTGACTTAAATCTTTACTGTTAATAAATAAATAAGTTTTCATATATCTTTATAGAAATTAAGAAATAAAAACAACACACACTATTCTTATATATACCGTGTTTGGCAAATTGTTTAAGGAATATATTACTTTCTATCTATGTTATGAACAGAATTTGATTTATATTAAAAATACGTATAAGTGTAAAATTCAACCATGTTGCCGATTATGGCTATGTTGTTACTTTTTATGACATGACAGAACTTAACATAAAAGAATTATGCGGTTCTTTTTGTCCTTTTTATTACAAAAGATGCAGGTGTATTTCATATGTTTTATAAGATGAACTTAAAACATACTTAATATTATGGTGCTAACATAAAAATATTCTCAGAAGGTACAAGAAAAGGCTGTAACAGGATAGAACAACAAGTAGTATCCTTCTATGAATTCTTACCTTTGGTGGGATCGGATGTTTAAAACTCGCCTCTTTTCAAACTTTTCATGTGTAGTCAGGAATTCAGGAAATGATGCTTTTCTCAATGCATTATGGGGAAATAAATATTGGTCTTTGAAACGTCTCCACAGGTAAAAAAAAACCTTTGGACAAAATTCTAAAATGCAAAATTATTAAAAAGTGCTTTAGTTATAATAAAAACAAATTATGGATAACATGACTTTTTTTGGGGGGAGGGGGGGATGTTATATTAGAATTTTTTAATGCATTATATATTCTAGTTGATTGCTCTTAAAATGGGTACAAAAGATAATTGAAATGAAAACTAATTGTGGGTGAACGCTTGGGACAGGAAGTTAGACTTTTTTTTTTATTTTGACTCATATAAAATAATGCTCTTTACTGTACACTGTTTACAAGAAAAACTTTAAATCTATTGGCAAATTATATTTGAAAAAGTTTCAGAGAATACTGACTGTAAAACGTTAGACTTTATCAACCAACGGAACGAAAGGAAAACAACTGCCATATTCCTCTCTTGGTAGAGGCATTTCCAAAGAAAATTATGGGTCAAACATCCCACTAACAAGAGAGTTGTATATATATATAGTTCCGTTATTTTGGAAAAATGGATGAGCAATCAAAACAGACATAATAGGTTAATGTCACAATAATAGGGATTATTCAGCCAAAACTGTGAAAACATACATCACAGACGTACAACACAACTGACTAAAACATTCAAACAAACAAATAAAGACACAAACATAAAGACAAGGGTAAACAAAATGAAAAAACACTGTAAAACAAATATTTCATGTAGGCATTTTCCACTTTAATGATTGCAATTGGCTAATTAGCTTAATCTTTATGCCCAGTCCGCAGCGGAGGAGGCATTACATGTTACCCTTGTGCGTCTGTAATTCACAAAGTTAGTTTCCGTTCTCTACTTAAGTTTGCCCCAACCAAATGTTATTAAACTTATACACAATGCTTATTACCACAAAACGCATATCAAATTTGAATTTGTGTGGCGTCACTTTTACCGTTCTAGAGTAATGCCCCTTTACAAATGAAAACATTGCTAAATCTTTTCATTTCCGTTCTCTAACTTACGTTTGCCCCAACCAAATGTTATGAGACTTATACACAATGCTTATTACCACAAAACTCAGATCATGTTAAAATATGTGTGGCGTCACTTTGATCGTTTTTGAGTTTATGTCCCTTTATAACATTAAATGCAAGCGGAGGCATCATCTGTGTTCCTGTGACACATTCTCCATCTATTATTAATAATTTGATAGTACGATTTTACTTTTAATATTTGACTGTTTCACAAGGGTACACGATGGATCAACAACTGCAACAGCAACCCTGACTATCAATGTGCTGGATTTAAACGAAGCAACTCCTGTTGTTTCCGATGCTTCCGGAAATGTTGACGAAGGAAGGCCAGTAGGATCAACAGTTTCTATAAGTATTAGTGCGAACGATGCCGACACTGCTGATGTCCTATCGTATAGTTTATCGGGTAAGATGTGAATAAAGCAATTGACAATTCTACTCTCACGAATTACTCCTAAAGTATACAATATTGATACTACATTTACTTGTCCATAAATTTGAATTACAATCTAAGGATAGATGCACTAGTCTATATAATGTGCGTATTTAAGGTTTTCAAAAAAGAGTGTTATTTTTAGTATGAGCGTCATGTGTCACTACAAGATTTCAAGTCTTTGTTGAAATTTGAAAAGTGGATGCATGTACACTTCAGAATATACATGTACCTGATTTTAATGAAGTTAAACGGTTGAATATATTGAAGTTTTAAATTGGTGGTATTACACTTGTTTTGATGCTCTCTTCCGAGTTCCTAATAGTAATATGCCGAATTCATTTCAATTTTAGAGTGGTTAATTATTGATTACAAAGCACAAAAAACAAACAATTCTTTTAAAATAATGTTCATTTTCAATGTCAAAATATATATGGGGAAAATTCAGCTGTCAACCGAAAAAAGCTTGTCCCATTCCGAAACGAAGCGATTATCTTCAGGAGTTTTGTTTTCAATTATGTAGGACAACAAGAAATAAGGGGGTTGGATGACTTTCAATTTTTCTGAACAACTTAATACGGAATAATTGATTTGTCACTTTTTGTAACTCATCTAAAAAAAACATCTAATAATAGAATAAATTTAATCGTTATTCAACATTTTCTCTGAAACAGGGCAATTTTCTGGCGGGAAGGGATGCAAAGACCCTGCTATCATTAGGTGCTAAAATGGTTTTTAGTATAATTATCTGGTGTATATTTTGACAACAATCCTTTTCAACAAAAACAACAATCTTTTCCCGCACACTTCTCTCTTATCTTGAAAACCTGGAAACGCCATTGAGAAGTCCCATAGAGTCGTACATAATCATGATAACTAAACAATTGGAGCATTAAACTTCTGTAGCCCTTACCCGGTTTCTGGACAAACAATTAAATTTAATTTGAATTTATGTTTTTTTGTTGCATCGAATGCTTAAACCGTACTACGTCCATGTTTAAATAAAAAAAAAACACTGAATTGATGATTTTGAAGTAATCTATTTTAAAAATCTATTTTAAAATGTCCCTGATGACGGCGTTTGCTCCTGACTATATAGTAATCATGACTTTAAGTCAACCAGCCTTTACTCTTACTCGTAGTTAATATGTGTGAAGCTGGAGAGGTACATTTACAGGTTTATAAAATGTTTTTGTTTATATACGTATTTACCAAGTATTTATTGACAAACTAAAAAAATTAGAAGGATAAAACAAGGGATACATTAGTAGTTCACATTAAAAACTTTTATGGAAAAAGCCACTTACCAGAACTGACATAAACAATATGTTCACGTCCATATACTTGTAGGAACTGATGCGGATGATTTCAACATAGATTCCTCAACAGGGGCGATAACCACAAGTTCTGTATTTGACCGAGAAGATACGGCAATATACACGGACTTACAACTTTTAGTATCTGATGGTTTGCATACAGCAACAGCAAGTCTCTCTATAACTATTAATGACATTAATGATAATACTCCTGTATTTGGTTCGTCGTATTATTTAGGAACTGTTACAGAAAGCTCTGCAAGTGGTACGTATAGGTTATCGGGTTTTCTACACATTGATATCGTAAAATATCAGCTGCTATCCACAATGTAAACCTTTATTTCGAGTGAGCACAACGAACGTGCAATAAAGCTTCACATTGTGGCTAGCGGCTGATATGTTACATAACTGCACATTGAGAGTTGGTTTGGGGGTTGTTCAAGTTCATGTTTGATTCTACATATATTTAATGTATAACACAAAAACTTTTATACGCTGTGGTAATGTAGAAATTAACTGGTGGATGTGGAGGTTTGTTGAGTAAATTAATCCTTATTTAATGAACAAATCACGCATGCTTATGATTTTTGCCAGGAATCAGTTCAAAGAATAAATGGATAATACTGCAATATTGGTAATGCACATGACAAAAATACATAGGGTGCACTGACTAATTTTTAGACTTCTGAAAAGGTCTCTTTTCTTGGTTTTTTTGCTTGTCACTTTCAGAAGTTTGCCCCTCTCTCCACTTTTTTAGTCTATTCCTACGCCAATTAATATTGATATAAAACCGTACCTGTCCAAATAAATTAAAATGTTCACAGTTGAATGTACGCTCGAAAAAAATTACCATAAATATAAGATAAGGAATAAGTTAGAGCCGCATTTAAATTTGGTAGTCTTGTTTATCAGAGCAAGCTTGTTGAAAACAGTATTCACACTATTTTTCACTATAAAATTGAATGCTATGTGCATGCCCCCGCTGCAGCAAAGGGGGCATTACAGTCGGACAGCAAATCACTGATTTGTCCGTTAAAACCCCGGATTTATTATCCGGGAATCAAGTGGAGATAATTTCTGAGAAAGCCGTCAACAGATCGCTGCGCAGAAAAATAATTCCACGCGGAAGACGACCCGGTTGGAAATCGTGAATTTGTGAAATTTTAAGAAACCAAACGTATCATGAGTGGTATACATGATATCAGAAGTTTTAAAATTATTTGAAATTAAAGTAATGTATCGTTGAAAAAGAAATTCGAGTCATTAATTTTCAGTCTTTGGAACCACCATTTTTCAACTTCGACTGTCACTGACAAATTTTCAGCTCGGGACGAATTCACACAGGCCTGGGTTACCTCGGAAAAATAAATATGACTGATTTATTTTGATAAACTGGAACATGGAGAACAGAACTGGGATGGTCAAATGACGTTACCATTCTTTGTTCACACGCAACAAGGACGTATCTAATATACGTCCTTGCACACGACCACAATTTCAGTACACATCACAATTTGGTAAGGCCGTGCAGAGACTCCCTATTATTTTTTTTCTTAAAATCTTCTCTGCTCTTGGCTAACACAGCTCAGAAATATGACAAACTTGTCACAGAGGAAAAGACAGTCAACATGTCATTGAAATTAAGAAAATCTGTTATTTTTTGTGATTTACTTTCCCTTTTCATGCCTCACTGATGTCTTTCAGTACATAATATTACAAAATATGATCAAAAGTTATCTACTTTCTTAAAAATCACACAGGTATTCTGAATTCAGCATATTATTCATATAAGAATATGTATATAAGCCTCCCATTATATCCCTTAATCAGTGCATTCTTTTTTGGGAAGTCCAGGTCAGTGGCGGATTCAGGGGGGGGGGGGGGAGGGTTCCGTGGATTGGAACCCCTCTTTTTTTGACGATCAATGCATTTGATTGGGTTTGGAAACCCCCCCCCCCCCCTTTTTCTCCTAGTTTAGAACCCCCCGTTTTCAAAATGGCTGGATCCGCCCCTGCAGGTGTAAATTATTGTGATATGTTAGCATGTCAGGATTTGTCCTGAAAGACATGACTCCAGTGTAAACATCCTAAGATCTGATATATCATAAATAAAAGACAGGAAAAACAGTTTGGACTAGTCAGGTCTTTATTTTGTAGTTTGTAGTTTACAGATGTAATTGCAAAAGAATGAAGATGATATCACATCATAATATACTATTGTTTGTTCTCATTCCCTGTTCATCTTCAAGCAACCATTCATTAGTTGTTCCATAGATATTATAATAATAGTCTTCAATCTACATCCAGTTTACCTAAATGAATTACTATGATGATTTGGTCCATTCTCTGTTTACAATTGTTCAGCTGCATGTACCTACATATGAGGATTTATATATCAGGTCAACATGGTAATTTTTTTTTAATTCTTCATTTTTACACATATTTAAGTTAATGTTACCAGAGATGGTTTATAGGTTTATATGTCTCTGATGGTACAATTAAGACTTAAAAACGCTTTTCATAACCATTATATAATTATTTTTCACACCCCATGGCCCTGTTTTATGTTGTGATTTTTTTTTTTTGAAATTTGATTACATAAATTGATATCCACTAAACGGTACAAAATTACATATTATTTTGGAAATGCTATTTTCAGGTTTTTTACAGTACATTTGGCATTTTACTTTATCATGACTGTTCATTGCATGTTTTGCAATATTTTGTAATTTGATTAAATGATTGGGGATTGGGTTTTAAGCTGACAAATACTTAGTAGTGTCACACCCAGAATAGATCCTGATACTCTTGGCATTGACAATAACTGTTTTTGCATATATATGTACACATCTTCTATTAAGTAACATTTCTGTTGGAGCCTGAAAGTGCCTTTTTTATATTTGAATACTTAGAAAAACAAGGTATCTCATTTCCATTATCATATTATTGAGCTTTCAGCAACTGAAGGACTTATTTAATGATAAGAGTTGAAGTTTTTATTTTCTGTTGAAAAATAGAAAGTTTAATTTATCTTGTTAAATACAGACATGACAACTCAAGTGGGCTGTAACTGGTGCATGGGTATCCATGTCATATGACAAGTTTGCAATCACTGTCAGGTCAAAGGTCAAAATAGAGTGAGAATGAATAACCACTGCAAAGATATAATAAAACTCTTCAAAGGAAAAATGCAATTCTAATGTTCCTTTGTTTAGGAAAGGATTTTAATTTTTTCACTCATTCTCTAAATAAAGCCCTGATTATATCTTTCTTATTTATTAATTTTTCTCAATTTTTATTACCTTGTAATAATTTGCTACCTATACATACACATAGAAATTACATGTTTGGTGAACGGGAAGCCTTTTTGTAGAGTACCTTGATATTTCCATTTGTAATAAACATTGGCATGGGTATCATATGCCAGTGACCAGGAGTTGTTACATTTCAGTGTTCATCATTAGACCTCAGATACATAATCTTTATTCAACTATTGCATATACAAACATATGTAACACCCATTTAGAATGGAAAAAAAACTTTAGTTCACAGATATAACCGACAATGGGTCTTAACAGAAATTTTCCAAAAAATGTTACTCTAGAATAGAATATATAAAACATGTACATTTCATACCCATAATCTTCATAAAATATTTTTTTCATGAAGTGTTTTTGTATATTCAAGAATAATACTTGATTCTTCTAAGGAGATGTACATGTATGCCTTGAAACAATTATAATTTATATCTAAGTATGACAAATAAAGGCAACAGTTGTATACCGCTGTTCAATAGTCATAAATCGATTGAGCGAAAACAAATCCGGGTCACAAACCTAAACCTAGGGAAACACATCAACTGTAAGAGGAAAAACGGAACAACAGAAACACTGAACTTTTCCCCCCTTTATTGCTGGAAATTGTTCACCTAAGCGTGGGATCAGTATTTTTTCTAATAATTTACTGGCCCAAAACCCCTCACTTTATGTAAATACTTTTTACCACATACTTTTTTTATTTCTTCTGAAGCTAATGGTGTGTAGTATTATAGTTTTCAAATTTTTTTTTTTTCCTAAACTGAATATGATAATTGGCAATTTCCCTAACAGTCCATGATTTCTAGATGATCATAAGAACAAAATTTGAAATATTTCGATTAAAGAGTGATTTACCAAGGCAGACATACTTTCTTTCACTGTATGGGTGATGAACTTGACAGGTGCCCTCATTTCAATGATTCATTATAATTTCCAAGATATTTTTCATATTTACAAATTTTTGCTATCGAATACGGATAAATTTATTGGATATTATGCACCAGAAACACTGTTTCCCTTACTAAAATTGAGCGAAATGCTTATTTTTACTCGTTTCTGATCGTCCGTCCCTTGAGCGAGTTTTCATTCGAGTTATCTCCCTTTGGTCTGTCGCCAATTTTGGTCCTGTTGAATTGACACACGGCCGGTTTACCTGGCGAGCTTTGGTAACAATAGGCATTCCATGTTCATGAGATCAGGAGGTATCATCCCTCTAAAGGAAAATACTAGGGATGTCAACGAGTACTCGAGTACTCGAGTATCGCTCGGAAGAACCGAGTATCGAATACCAAAATAATACTCGACTAATCGGTTTCTGTTAGAATGTTGTTGCATTCTTAAAGAAAAAATATTATTAAGAGCGTCTCCCGGGAAATTATTATTGATCAAAATTAATCAAAATTTAAAAAGAAACCGCTTCGAATGTTTGCATCTAATTTTCATTTAAAATTCCCTCGAACAGATGTAGGATATGAACAAGAGCACCTTTCCAAGTCTTACACTCTCTTAGTCATTCCAACACCTCTTTATCGTCAGAGCAAATATTTTCACCAGCAGGACTGTTAATTACGTAACAAAGTTGAGAAATTGAAAAGATAATATTTCCAAATAAGAACAAATTCGTTGCACCCTGTGTCGACCCCGCTTAGAGAATTGTTAAAGGTATCAGTAAGTTTTAATCATCACCCCTTTGTTGATCATTAAATGTGTTTTTTTACGAATTACAAATACTGTTGTTTGAGTAAACATTTATCTATAGATAATTATTAATTATTTGCTTAGATTATTGCCAGTTTACATAATTAGTGCATGTAGTAAATGAGCTATTAATTTAAAGAATTTCTAATAGAGTATTTTATATGATTTTTAATAGCATTTTATATTTAATAGTATTTTTGAAGGCGATTTCTAAATTAAATTGATTAGATTTTTAACCCTAGAAATATTTTACAAATTAACATGCAGTTTATTGTATATATGTACATGTATGTTTTTTTATAGTGTCTCATAAGTCAACTGTTTGGCTGGGCATTGATAGCATTTTAAAGATATAATTGTATATATGTCTAAATGTACTGTATCAATCAATGTGTGACACTCAAATAAAATAGATTTTATTATTATTTATTATCAATTATGGTTTAAAATTCCAGGGACTATTATCTAATCCTAGGTAATTATGATGATAGTTTTACGTACGTCCATAAGACAAAGACCCACAATTCGTAAAATTGGTATAATTGTGTGTTTCCATTTTGTAGATGTTGATCCGAGCGAGTACTCGAGTATCGCTCGGTAAATCTAACGAGTACTCGATTATTAAATCTTCACCGAGTTGACATCCCTAGAAAATACGTTACCATTCCGTGTGTCATTTCAATTTACATTTATTTAGTGAGAAGTGTAAGGGCCACGGCACGTTTTTTCATCTTTGACAATCAAATTATCAAGGAAATTCTACATTTTCATTCTTTAAAGAATAACGTAGTGAAAGTTTGAAACCTGTCGTATCAAATGATATATTTGGTTGAATAGTAAATACATAAAATATCTTTCGTCGATTTCGTGGCGTCATTGCCGTTGCTAAAAAATGTCATTTTTTAAACTGAAAATCACGTGACCAGAAAAATAAAATCGACGCTATTATGAGATTTGCTGTCCGTCTGTTAAGGTTACACTATACCGAATTCGTTACGCCACGAGTTATCGTTTGGCTATTGTCGACATCCACGAAATTGACGGCAAACGTAAAACCTGATGTTTTATAATAACTTAGAACAAATTAAACAAACAATTTGCCTCAGTCTGATATAAAATAGTTGAAAGATAAATGTTTCTTTATTTCAAATTTGCAAATAATATATGATTATATATTAAAAATATCTTCATTTCAGCGTCGTTCATAGATACCAGTCAATGTAGCAGGTTCCGTCATGTTTCGGGCGGTTGACAACATAATACATGTAGCTGTTCTTTTATCGCGAAAATAAAAAATAAAAAAATAACCTTTTATTTTTGGTAAACATTTTTGTTGTTACTTTGCATAGATGCAGAGTACCGAGAGATTTGATGCAATACGTTATTTGACATTGATTGCTTCGATCGTCTTTATTCTCAATCTTTACCTTTTTATCATATGCCTTTTTAAATCATCTGTATCTATTAATAAGATTTATCTATATATGTTCTTACTTATGATAGACTGAGTTTTTTTAATTCTGGGATGAGTTTCTTTGCAATAAATTCTTATTTATGATGCACGCCGTTTCCCGATGATTTTTTTTAAAAGTAGAAATCCAAATTATAGAAACGCGGGATAATGTGTGAAAATACGGGGAATTGTGCCACTATTAGTGCAATTTCGTTAAAAAACCCATTCGTTTTAAAATGGTTGCCGAAAAAAGCTGCTAGCAAAATAGAAAAATGAAATTTATTTGGAAAAAATTTAGCGAACAATGCACTGTACAAGCAGACGTGGAAACTCGGACAGAAAATGGTTTGTTGGAATGCATGGAATAAACAAAGAATAATAATTGAACTTGGTTATTTGGCCGCACAACTTTTCCTATGTTTCAAGTGTAGCCAGTTTCCGAAAATTATTGGACTGTACAGGAGAAATCCGATATGGTTTCGGTAGCTTGTAAAAAATAAATTGCCAGCACTGTAATCGAATAAGCGCAGTATACAAAGGACTGCAACATCGGAATGATGAAAAAGTTAACAAAGGCTTGAAAATATGGGATGTCAACACTTAATGTGCACCCGGTGGGACGAAATAAAATTAAATCATTCAGATCCCGTTACATTTTTTTTCAATTCCATTTCGAAACAAACTATTTCTCGAAATTTACAATCTCACGATTCATTAAAATACCAGTGGCCCCACAATAAATGAATAATCGGTGCTTGGATAAAGGTAAACCAAAAAAAAAAAGCGCTTCGAACGCAACAAATTATAAAGAGATATTTTCGTTAACCTATATTATTCAAACGACAGAAACAAACAAAAAAAACCTGTTTGATTTTAGATTCATGTTAATTTACGCTTAGGTGTACAGGGATGGGTGTGTTTTGTTGTTTAAGTTGGACATGATGTACAAGTACAGATGATGAAAAATGCACCATTTCATAAAGTGGTGAGACAAAACGACTCACAAACGATTAACAAAGGTGTCTTTTTTGGGAGGTCACATTGCTGACATGAGCGTCGAAAAAAGTCCGAGAGTATTCGCCATCTTTTAAGTGGGAGATTCAATAAGACAGCAACTGGCCAATTAACGACACACAAAACCAAAGACATCTAGATAACACGTGACAAATAAAGGATGGACGAGTATTTTTTTTTACTGCTAATTTGTAGATTTAGTAAAGATTCTTTGGTCCCTTGAGTTTGAAAGTTGATAAGTATATTTACTATAGCAAGTATAAAATCTATCAAATTATAAGATCACATGTTCACAACATTAGTCAGATATTAGTTATAATAGTAACATATGTCAGTCTCGTAGTTAAAGTTAAACTTCTTGTATTTCAGAAGAAAACTCAAACCATTATCAAATAAGGAGATGTAGTATAATTGCCAATAAGACAACTTTCCATCAAAGACAAAATGATGTAGATTTTAGCTTGCTTACATTGTTACATTTGAGATTTCACAATTACATTCCGGATCCACTATGAACTGCTTATTCAAAACGATATTTTGTCACCAAATGACTTATAAAATAGAACATCATCAAATACGCTTAATGTTTTCTTTGACTGTCCATGGCGTTAACACTAAATCCCTGGGATGTGTTTTAATTGATTTTAGTCTCTGATGCATGATTTTTTATTATTCATTATTCATTCAGTAACTGCGAGTACTCTGAAATCGTACTTTCGTGTTAATTTGACCTGTTGACACAATTTGTAATGCATTTTTGTTATTCAATGTTTACTTATTTTGTGTTATATCTCGTCTCACTATTTTTAATATGTACCACCTTTGATGAGTATTCAGTATGACGATAAATTTTCACTTCTGTACTCGTACTATGAACAACAAATTTATTTATTTGGTAAAAAATATTTCCGTACTCCTAACAACAAAATTATTATATTCAAATTTACCTGTGTACCTTATTATATTTAACGCCATTTTGTCCCAGGTTAGAGTTGTCTTTTTGACATTGTTTTATATCCCCTTCTTTTTATTGATATTGTATTTATATTGTGTCATAAATCAAATTTATTCGTTCAGTGTATGTTTATTTGAGTTTTTTAATATGTTTTTTGATCGAGTTAAGCCATTTCAATTGATATTTTATAGTGTATCTTTCTATGTTGTAATGTTACACTACCGTTGCAGGTAAGAGTGAAGGTTGGCACCTGTTAAAACGTTTAAACCCGCTGCATTTGTTTGCACCTGTTCTAAGTCAGGAGCCTGTTGTTAAGTGATTTTTGTTTGTTGATGTGGTTCATAAGTGTTTCTCGTTTCTCACTTTTTATATAGATTAGACCGTTGGTTTTCCTGTTTGAATTGTTTTACACTAGTCATTTTGGGGCCCTTTATAGCTTGCTGTTCGGTGTGAGCCAAGGCTCCGTGTTGAAGGCCGTACTTTGACCTATAGTTCTTAACTTTTTACACATTGTGACTTGGATGGAGAGTTGTCTCTTTGGCACTCATACCACATCTTCTTATTTCTATTTAATATAATTTTCCACGAACGACAGAATATACTATATTAAGAATATGTATTTCATCAAGATATTGATTTTATCTATCATTTTTACAACTAACAGAATGTTTAACCTTTTTTGGTGGCTGCATTAAATGTGCCTTTTAGACACAACTATTTCAAATTGTATTGTATCGTCCTGAACATGAATGAAATATTTGCCACTGGATGTTAAGCAACCACCAATCAATCAACTCAAATTGTACTTGAAAAAAATTACTGTTTACTTATTCAAATTTTTGAAGCACTTTCATGCATGGAAGTAGCGGTGGCATCACCTTTGTCTAGTTTGGTAGGATTAAGTTGAAGATTCATTTTTTATAAGCTGAATGTACACCCGGTTAGGACGAAAGAAAATTAAATCAGTAGAATTAATAGGAAATTTACGAAACCGGACAGGGGTAATGAAAACAAAATAACAAACACCATTCAGATCCCGTTACATATAGAATAACCATACATTGTCTCGAAGTATAAATTGTATTTGTACAAGGCTTAGAAACAGGTAGAAAGCGAGGCTATGCAGAGCATTTCTATCCTGTTTTGAGCCAAGTACAAATAAAATTTATATTTGCTTTATATACTGCAACTCCTACATGTATAACTGTTCCAAATGAAATATTTTGGGCAAAAACCATCATTTTTTAATGTGGAGCGGACGACGTTTTTCCGCGAACCTGTATTGTTTATTGACGTAATAAATAAAACTCTACGGAAACGCATTGTCAACGTCATAAACAAGGCGATATACGGTCAGTGACTGTATATCTCAAATGAAAATACGGTCAAAAATTCTTTGCATATCGGTCAACTTTGAAGCAATTTATCTAAAATACAAGAATTGCTCCGTATATAAGAACATAGCCATCAATTGAATAATAAAAAAAAGGCATTTTACTTATATATTAATTTCGTTGCAAAAATTGACGTTTTCTTATAAAAATTACAAAAAGTTCAAAAATGGTGACCCCCATTTTTTTATATCATATTCCGATGTAACTCGAATAAAAAAACAAGTGTGCCAAACATTTTAGAAATCGGGAGATATGCCATTCGGTATCGAATTACCTTAAGTGTTACCGTTGTCCGTCTGTACGTCCTTACGTCCCGAAATTAGTTTCCGTTCTCTAACTTTAGTTTGCCTCAACCAAATGTTATGAAACTTATACACAGTACTTATTACAACAAAATTCAGATCAAATTTGAATTTGGATGGCGTCACTGTTACCGTTCTAGAGTAATGCTCCTTTACAACTGGAAAAAAAATTTTCGTTTCCATTCTCTAACTTAAGTTCGCCTCAGCCAAATGTTATGAAACTTATACAAAGTGCTTATTACTACAAAACTCAGATCAATTTCGAATTTGGGTAGCGTCACTTTTACCGTTCTTGAGTTATGTCCCTTTATAATGTTATATGCAAGCGGGGGCATCATCTGTGTCCCATGGACACATTCTCCTTTTTTTTTTAGATAGAAATGAAAAGAAGGAAAATGACTTTCACATTTTAGCAAGAAGCGCTTCCTACAGAATTTCATGCTGTTTTCGAAAATTTACACGAAATGATAGCACGTAACAATCACATTTTGCTTGAAACAAGGAATGGTTCAATTAGATTGTCACTTCGTAAAAATTCGTATGATCACATGTCTACGAAATAAAATATAAATGTTATTAAAAACATTTAAAATCTGAAAGTAAAAAATTTTAAAATAAAACTTTGTCAGAAATTGTGTAGTGATATGAAAGCAGTATCATCCCACATGAAAACAATTGTACGATGAAGATGTCGGTTTGATAAATCATCAGTACCTGTATGAATTGAGCACTAGTCTTACTGCAATTTAAAAAAAAAACCTGTGATACGCATTCTTTTATTGCATAGTTTTTGTAAATAAAATTTTAAAAAAAGAACATATCTTTAACAGGAACAAGTGTAGCAGCTATTTCGGCATCTGATAGCGACGACGGCACAAATGCAGTTATCACTTTCAACATCGCAAGTGGTGACACGTCTTCGAAATTCAGCATCTCCGGAAATGACATAGTTACTACAGCTACTGCTGTAGACTACGAGGTTGAAAAATCGTTTACTTTGATTATCACTGCAACGGACCAAGGATCACCTGCAAATACAGGCACTACAACTGTTAAAATTTCTGTAAGTTAAATACATTTTTCAATTATCCTACAGTTTATTGGCGGATAAAATCATTTGTCTTTCATGCCTTAAATTATACTAAAACTATTCATTAATTTTCATTTTTATTATACTACATGTACATATGAAACATTTATCTAAAAGTTAATCAAATTTTACTGCAACAAGCGATCATATTTGGAAATTCGTTTAAAAAAATTATCATTAAAATTTTTAAAAGAGTCGATGTAGAGGTATCGATCAATGAGACAGCAACTCAACAACACGAATAACCAAAAACATAAAGAGTTGTTTATACCATATGTTGAAACAAGGGTCTGGAAAAGAAGTAAATAAGTTTTACCGAGACTATCAAAGATTTAATCAATAATTTAATATTGCAAGTTTAATGTCGCAATTGTACTGCTGACGACGTCCAACAAAGACCAAATCCTGTGTTTACAAAAGTTTAAGTGGCATTTTAAAATTAACATTTTACCAATCAAAGGTCAATTTCCATATAGTATCAATAAATTAGACTTGTAGACACCTTATCTGTTAGTCATTTGAATGCTGAAACTATAGGTCTTAAATTCATACAATAGTGCTGCCGGACAATATTAAGCCGTATTATGAAAATTAGTGTTACATGTACAGTTCGAGTTATGTTTGTTCGCATTTTTGGTATAATTTAATTAAGACTACTCATAGTCAAAAACTGAGGCAACCAAAATGCCATTTAAATCAGGAAAGCCATACAAATACAACAACATATACTGATCGTGAGGAGATAAATGATGCAACCTTTGTCTTTGTAAAATTATAAATTTCATAACCTCATATAAGTTATAACTCATAGACTAAACAACAAAACAATGCATTATTGGCAAATTAAACCCTCATACGGACATAAGACATAAATTTGTTATTGAACTTACTTTGTCAATGTGATTGATTGATTGTTGATTGCTTAACGTCCAGTGGCAAATATTTCATGCATATTCAGGACGATTTTGTCAATGTGAGTGTTGTTCCTATTAATAGAGGTCGGTCGATTTAAAACGTATCCAAAGTATCCGATACGTTGACGTATACCCATCTACGGGAATATGCTAAAATAATTGTCCCAATCGAATATATTACTCGGTGTACTACTTTTGAAGAATTATGGGGATCAATGTCATATGTCGTACTACCCTTCAGTGGCAGACCCCCTTTTTTCGTAAAACAACATCATCGCCAATCTAGAAAAAAACTGTGTTTAATTGTTGTAGGTCCCCATGAAATAAAGATCTTTCATATGCAACATAGACTTAAGGATTATGTACCCTTTTGTTGTTTCTATGCTAAATATAAAGAAGTTATATATTAAGTTGAAGTGAGGCATTCAGAAATAAACAGGTGCAAATTAATCAGTGCCACAAAGTTTGATCCCCGTTATTCTTTAAAAAAGTACATTGAGTAAATAAATACTCTCGATCAGGGTAATTATTTGAGCATATTCTCCCAGATGCGTATACGTCAACGTATCTAATACTTTGGATACGTTTTAAATTGACCGACATGTACTTGCAGTATTTTATATACTGTTTCTTCTTAGACTGAATGTTAGTTAATCAGAAGAAAAAAAATGAAAGATCGATTTTTTTTTTGATAGCCATGAAAGAAACATCACATGCAAAATATACTTAATTGTGAAGTGAAATCTTAAAATGTGCAATTACAAAAGAACTTTAATTGTATCTATGATGAGTTTATTTGTATTAAATTACGGTATTATTATACAAAATGTTTGAATAAAGTATAGAAATTATAAAATTAATTGATTCCCGAATGCAAGGCAGTTAAGTTTAGACCACTGTATTACATTTGTATGTTTACTGGTGACGAAAGCTGTCAGTGTGTAAAGAAGTGCACTTGATTTATTATATATAAATATTGCTAGGATATGTGGTTTATATGTCAATTAGATAACAACCCAACGACAAAAATAATCATGCACGTCGAGAGAGCAACATAGTCTACAACAGGTGTCTACATAATATGTCAAACTCTATTTATATATAATGGTTTGAGTAAATATATTGTAACTCCAGTCTGACTAAGAGCATTAAGTTGCTAAGAGTAAGATTATAAACACATCGTAAATAGATAATATAACTCTCTCAATTACCTTGAGTGGCGCCATAAATATATCACAAATGGGACCAGTTGTTGCATAAGGCCAAAATGAAAATGAATCATTCAGTTGTTTTGCATTACGCCAATAAAATTTCCAGCGATGTTTTTGAAAATCAGAATAACAAATATCTATTCATTTGTAATATCAACTTTACGAACATATTGTATTTGTTTCAAAATAAAGTTGAATGAACATGAACAGTTTATCTTTTGATTCTAGGTTACTAGTGTCAACGAGTTTCCGCCCATATGGACAGATGCCACAACACTTTTCACATTAGCCGAAAATGCAGCAGTGGGTACAACAATTGTTACCATAGCAGCAACTGATGATGATGACGGTACAGACGGAGATGTGACTTATGAATTTGGCACTATTTCAACACGTAAATATTTTGACAAATTTCAAAACATTTATAACATGTCGGTATACTTCTTTTTTTCATCTGGAATGTCGCAGGTATTTTTTTACTACACAAAAATAGTATTCAAAAATTATAGTAGACCTTTATGAATTTGTGGTTTTCTTGAATTTACCTACACCCAAGAACGCCCAAACAACCAAAAAAAAAAACTGTAATGCCAAGGATGTTTTTAAACCTAAATACGTGACTTGCAATATGACTTAAAGGGACCTTAAACGAATAGTCGAATTAATGTCTTTACGTTATATAGTTATATAGTTATATATATTTAAACTGGTTGGAGAAGTTGTAAACGGGTTATTTTGGATTTAGATATATTGGTTATATATGCACGTGAAACCCTTTGGCGGTTTAAATGGTGGGGTTCCGTTATTTTATATAAAGAAATTGTTAAGCTGTCAGTTCATCGAAGGTGCTCACAGTAACTACAACGTACAGTTTACCGTTTACTGTCTTTGTTCATAATGTCCAAAGCAAATCCAGACCATGGTGTTAAGGGTACGATAGAACCTGATGGCGCTGAATACGATGTTTTACAGATGGTGCAGTTTCTCTTTTATCAAATGTCTTGAACAACGAAATAGACTTACAAAAGAATAATATTATTCCCATGTTGTCAGTCGGTTGCAGAAGGTTGGAGGAAGCTTCTGGTGTTGATTTTCAAGCACGAAGGCAACCGTATTCAACATAGTAATCTACAACGTTCCGATTAGCTGACCAAATTTGACACTCTAATATGACGTCCTTATATGGCTTTTTTAGTTCTAATTAGCACAAAATATGTTTAACACATGCGCACAAATTTAATGTTTACATTCTCGTTGGTTCAATTTTATCCTAATAAAAATATATGTATTGGCTGTTTACATAAACTTTATTATATATTTTTATTCAAACAACTATATATTTACCCTGGTATTAGTTTTTAAACTTATCAAATATGAAAATGAAATGTACATACTTCATGGGGAGGAAATGGGAACATCCAAATATTCTTAGGTATTTTCGTACGCTCCGACCTATACAAATACCGTATTTGTCCTATTAGAATTGAAATAATTCCTTCATGGCATGCTTTATGCTCTTTTTAACATGGGTAGGCATTATATTTGACCATATTTTACACCTCGCTAACGCTCAGTGTAAAATATCGACAATTATAATGCCTACCAATGTTAAAATGAGCATAGCACTATTGGATCGACATGTAATGGTGAATTGCAGTCCATGCATGCACACGCGGAGAACACTTCATAAAATTGAGAATGGAAACGGGGAAAGCCAGCTCAAAAGCCTAATCTGCCGAAATATTTCCAAGCCGTCGTACTCTAATATAGGTGGCTGTACCTCACTGTGACATAAGATTAAACGTTATATCAGAAGGAAAACATGACCTTGTTCGATGGCCAGAAGAAACCTATAAAGAATTTTCAATATAGAAAAACAAACGCAACGATTAAGGTTTTTTTGAAACACTTTTTGTGATGATCATTTACTCGCTTGGTCGTGGGTCACGAATCAACGAATTATAGATAATCATCACAAAACGGCGGACGGATTGAACAGCAGAATTTCTTGATTAATTACACCTTATATAAGAAAGACAGATTTTGATTGGTTGATAGCCAGTGTATTTTTCGCATATTCTAATATTTTTTCCTCATTTCAAACGAATTTGCCTGTTTTTCACCACTGCCGGTAGATTTGCCTCAAATACCATGGTATTTGCCATTTTGGATATTCCTTTTTTACCCTCTCGAGCATTTTCCCGCCAAAATTTTTCGGATATGACGTTACATAAGCGAGCTAACGCGTATTAGTACATGTATAATTCCCGCGGTTCTATGATAATATCCTCTTACCCTCAAAATTATGCATTAACATGTTAATGAATTAGTTTCGATCCAAATATTTTCGGTGTAATTAAAACAGATATATCATGTTATGGAGGGGTATTTGCGAAAAATACCAGTCTGGGGACCGAATTTCCATCGCCTAGCGGCTCCGGAAATTTTACAGTCCCTTGACTGGTATTTTTCGCAAATACCCCTCCATAACATGATATATCTGTTCAAAACTAGGAGATAAACACATGCTACAAGAAAAGTGCACCACGGCACTTGTATTGGTTGTAATTTGTCCAGGTATTTCTTGGAAGGTCTTCAAATTCTTAAATGGTTTTGAACTTTTTTCCATGCATTCACGATGAAAATGACAACCTGCGAAGTACTAACATTTACGTTATTCTAAAGTCTTCATGCTGAATGAAAACAGTATCTGGTTGAAATGTTTATATATAAACTGACATAATGTATGAACTATAACAGGCATATGATAAACATTTCTCTGGAATTAGTGACTCCTTTGAATATTTTAAATTCCCTGCTAGTGAAAACTATTAATTTCAAATAGCGAGAATAAAACTTGAGAACCGCAACATATAAATTATTTTCTGTGCATGTTGATTGATGTATATTTTATTTTGATTGGTACCATAGTCAATGAAACTCTGTGTATTTGAAGTTCTACGTGTAGGGGGAAAATGTCAACACACAACGTTGGTTCAATTTTAGACGTTACGGTTATAAATGAGGGTTTGAATGGGGTCTTCAAATATTTATTTTAAATTATTTTCGCCCATAATTTGATTTTCCTTTCTTTTATATTTTAGCACCATTTCAGATCTCTATTCTTTTAAGTTTAAATTAAATTCAGGGCATTTTTCTGTCTTCTGTAAACCTAGCCTAGACCCTCATATACTAGAAATTATTCTGAAACAAAATTAAATAATTTACCCGATGCAATGGTCAAGTGATTCAATAGGGGAAGACTCGTGAGTTGGATCATCATCTATTCTACTGATTTTGCTTACAATGGAGTAGGACTAAATGAATCTGTTGTCGATTTTTTTTTTACTCCGACAAATTTAGATTACAGAAAACTACCGCAAAGGGGATTTCCAACTAAGGGAGGGAAATGTTTCCATAAGTCTTAAATTCGCAAAGGGTATGAATCAATAGCGGCAACAAGACGAAGCAAGTCGGTATATTAGTGTTTAGTATCTAGTCTGCTGCATTAGGTAGAAATCGTTTAAAAGATTATAAAGGAAAAGTTTTGTTTTTTTTTTTACCGAGCAACTACCGAGTTACCTCGGTTGCCTCAACGTAAGCTACGCCAATGGGCGTGTATAGCTACAAATAAAAATAAAAACAATGCCCAAAAAATTTAAACAGTCGTAATATTCGTGCTTTAAAGTATCGTGATAATACAATGAAGTATTAAAGAAAAAAATATATATACAAATAATCAAAATATATGTTCAAATATTGTCAAATTAAATAAATTGCAGTTTGTTTTGGTCGCAGTATTAAGCAATATGGTAGCTGGATGATGAAGGAAGCATGATGCGCATGGAATGATGGGAGTTTAGAAGCATCGTTTTTACAACCAATGAAAACCGCCGTCGCAACTCTACCTAATTTAAATATTTAAAGTTATTTTGGGCATATGCAGAATATTTCCCATCCGACCTCTGATGTGTAAAAATGAATGTTCGTGATTTTAATTTTTTAATTTTCTCTTTATAGTCTCTACGGAAAGCTAAGATTTGCCAGTTCATGTGATTGATGGTTGACGGTGTAATATCGTATCACCAAGGCCAACATTAATATGAAATACCGCAATATGAGAAATTTCGAGTGTGGTGTGTTTCAAATGGTTTTCACAATTGTTTCGCTTTTTTATTGGTGGACTTATTTAACGGGAAATAGTGTCCAATTTGGAATCTTTAGTTTTATTTCATAATTTGCAAGATTATTTCTAGATTTTTTAGGGTATTCAGCATTTTAACTAAGCCATGTCTTGGCCTTTGATTCTAATCATATCTACTCCTTTGTTTTGTCGAAGTAAGGGAAGACATCAAAAGTTCAATGTAGGATAAAAAACTTAATTCACATAGTTTTTTCACTGCAAGCAACCAAACCTATATTAGAGTTTTGTCTTATTTATACGAAAGAATTTAGTAAAGACATGCTTTAAATTGGACGAGCACAGTTTACCGTTTATTGTCATATTTATGAGTGTTGATCATATAGAGTTTAAGTTCATTTACATATAATGATGTGGGTTGGATAATCTTGTTGTTTGCCAATGTCAATTTGAAGATTGTTATTAAATTATATCAGATTATTATGTTGTTAAACATTGTTGCAAGAGAAAAGAACAAGTTACTGCGAGCAACCAAACCTACATTAGATTTTTGTCTTATTTATACGAAAGAATTTAGTAAAGACATGCTTTAAATTGGACGAGCAGGCGAGGGAGAATTTAATTGTCTTTATATTTAGTGTTAAGTTAAATAGTCGATTCAGAATCAATATGTTCCATCTTAACTTTCGGATTAGGTGGTTAACGTTTAGAAGACTCTAGTTTTGTCACAAAAGTATTATCATGTATTGTCTTTGCTGGTAAATATTGTCCCCCTTCTTTCAAAATAAATCTCTTCCGCCGTTAAAACGCATAAAAAATTATTGTCAGTATTGTCACTCTTAGACTGCAGTAAATAAAAGAGGGACGAAAGATACCAGAGGGACAGTCAAACTCATATTAGATCGAAAACAAACTGACAACGCCATGGCCAAAAATAAAAAGACAAATAGACAAATAATAGTACAGATGACACAACATAGAAAACTAAAGACTAAGCAACACGAACCCCACCAAAAACTGGGGGTGATCTCAGGTGCTCCGGAAGGGTAAGCAGATCCTGCTCCACATGTGGCACCCGTCGTGTTGCTTATGTTATTACAAAAATGACATCTTATGTCCTTATTCGTCAAATTCAGCAGAACGGATCCCTCCATCTTGTTTTTGCTCCTATAGTACTGGCATCTCTGAAAATATCTAGGCGACTAGTCATAAGTGTGTCGATACTCTGAAGAATTTCATTCTGATTCTGGCTCATTGCGTCTTAAATTTGCTGGTCGATTGGGCATGTTTATTTCTGCCGGGTCTGACATGTTTTGTGTTGTACGTCTGCGGCTAGAATGTTTTTAAAACACAGAGAAAATAAAAACACGCTTTCACCCCATTATCATAAGAATACTTATGACGCAATCACAAATGATTAGTTCACGTAACCATGTGTACAACTACAGAAAAACACCATTTTTTAAAACGTTCCTTTTAGACATTTTCCCGCAACTCCCGGAAACGCGGAAAATAAATGTAATGTGTCTGCACATGTGTGGCATAAATCTAACAGAACAATCAAAGTTATTAGAACTCAAAAATATATGACATTAGATAACTACTGACGATGTTCTTAACTTTTAACAAGTACATGAAAATCTGGTGGAGTTAAACTATTTTTTTCTCAACCCTCAACTTTTTAAACGTTTACATTGTAAATCTTTTTCGTTGGAAACAACTTTGCTTGATAATTCAATGTGTATATTAAGCGCATTGACCTTTGTTGTATTTGTATATCAAAGTTGAGAGAGGTACATTTATTTTAAAAGATGATCAAGAGGAAAACAATGTTTATGATAATCATGGTTCAATTTATGGACATGTAAAATGTATATGTATCTAAAGTTGATTTTGGTTGATTGATTGTTTGCTCTTTAACACCTAATATCAAATATTTCATACATATATTGGACAATATATTTGGAATTGAATACTACTTCATTTTGTTATGATAGCTGCATGTATCTAATCATTTTTGTTCTGACTGTTATAGTTTTATCTTTTCTAGATCTTCTGAGATATTATACATTCCAGAATCAAGTGTTGATGTAAAATGTTTGATTTTTTATGTTTCATACTTTATGGCTGATGGAGATATAGAATTTCATACGGTGTGGAATCTGCGTTGACTTTTATTAATTTTTGTTCGGTCAATGTTATTAGCGCTTATTTTACATTGTGTCATCCCAAGGCCTTTAATAGCTTTCGATTTATATTATTAGGACTATTTCTTATTGTAGAACTACGCATGTTGGTCTTTGAAGCATAGTGTTCACATCGGCAAACGTACAACATATCAGTATTTTATCTGCTTGTCGTTTTGGTTTCATTTACGGATGTTGTATCCTGACAAAACATGTTCCATTTACTTCCACTTATTTCGTTCTATTCTTCCATTTATGCAGTGTTAAATACTTTAAACGGTATCAAACTCAATGTGTATGCTTTGTATTTTATTTGCCATTTCACATTTGTGTGAGTATTGATTTAAGGTTTGAGTGGTGGACCTACAAGTGGCCTGTTTCGACTTGATTCTGTTAATGGTGCACTTTCAACTATTGGCACATTTGATTATGAAAATTCGAATGGAATTAGCTTTTATGATATTGTTGTGAAGGCTAAAGATGGTGGATCGACTATCAAATCAACAGAGAGAACTATAAGTGTCGAGTTGGTTGATTTTAATGACAATCCCCCAGCTTTTTCTGCAAGTAGTTTTACAGCAAGTATATCGGAAGTTGCAACGGTTGGAACAAGTATCATTGAATTTACCGTAACAGATAAAGACTCGTCGACATCAAATACGTTTAACATTGTAAGTGGAGACACAGGCGGGTTCTTTGAGTTTGATGCCAATAAATTACAGCTGAAATCAGTAATTGACCTTGATACTCCAACATCAGCGTCAAATACGTACCCTTTACAGATTACAGTAACAGATGGTGGAACGCCAGAACTTACAGGGGCAGCACACCTAACCGTATTTGTATCATCGTCAAATGAACATACACCAACGTTTCCTACAAGTGTCATCAGTCAGACGGTTTGTATACTTAAAAGGTTACTACATTGGTGATGGAAAACATATGACAAGTTGCTTTTATAAACGCTATTACTAGTATATATGGAAACGTAAAATGCTATTTTTATCTCCAATCGATAATATTGCTTGTTATGATTATAGTACGTTTGCACAGGCACTTGACTCCTATATACCTTAATTAATATAACACAAGGTACTTAACTCGCATTTTTGAAAAATGTCACCAAGACGCGAACTTTTGTTATATTTTGATTTCTCGATTGTTTACCCCACTAAAACTTGTAATGACGTAAATCTAAATTGATTTATCTACACAATGGTGAAGACAACGCCTACCTTTGTTGTCGGAATCATTCGTAGCAGGCCTCTCCAAGTATGTCAACCGTTAATATTTCGTATCCCTACAGCTGATTGGAAATACAAGTCTCGCAGTAAATGGATAATTATAATTGTCCCTCTGGTATCATTCCCCTCTCTTATACATATCTCGGTTTCCCATTGTAGTGGAAGTTGAAGCTGGTGGACGTGGTTTTTGGTCAAGCGATAGTTTTACCTTTTACTAGATACCTTGAACAATTTATTGTGCTGAGAGTGCAGGAATACACAATCAATACATTTTTATCACTTGTGTGAAAAGAATTTTACAAATATTTTGTTAAATATCGATTTTTCAAACAAACAAAAAAAGCATACGTGACGCGCCAATTATTCAAAATAGCGGGCGTTTCTAAAAGTTGATCTCGTAGCCATGTCTGCCCACATATTGACTTAATATGTAATAAGTTTATTTCAATTCTATAGTTTTACTGTACATATTATCCCACGTGCATTTCCGTTTTCTTTTTTATTATTTTAAGTGCACTTAATCTCTTTTTCTCGTTCCAATTTACGTTTATTATCTGACCACGTTGTATGGTGTGAACTTTTTCTTTTTTTAAATTTTAACTCTCGATACCCTTGTACATTTTGTACTTTCCCATTTTTATTCCACATATTTGTTGCTTTAAGTATATTATTTGCTAAAAAAATATATTTCAACAGCACTTATATCGGGTTTAAATAATCCGTTCATCATATTTCGACTCTTCAAAATTCAAGAGTCAATCCTAAATTAAGGTAAATTATGTGGCCTTCCAAATACCGTTTCGATTCCTAACATCACTGAAGAGACATTAATTATCGAAATCCGGATATGGTGTACCAATTTTTGCACCTCATGTTTGCGGTATACCATCTCTTCCGCAAGTTTCTTGTTTTCAGTTTGGTATTAAATTAATAATTAAGATCCATTTTGTTACATCTGGTGATCCGTTTATTTGGCAATCGCCATGGCAGTCAGCAGTGTTTAAGAACATCCGTTGTTTGACCTGCTAGTCAAATGCGTTTTGTTAAAATATACTTTTCCACTTTATTGGTCTTTTGGAAAATGTTGTTTGTGCTGTATTTAGACCCCTCTACCAAGAAATTTGTTTTGCATCCACATGTATAAAATTGCGGTTTTTATCCAACGCAATCGTAGGTTTGAACGTTGTTTTCAATTTAGACTTGTTTATATTTTTTCGTTTGGGCTTGTATTATATTTGCCCTCGGGTTTATATAATCTGTTCATCCTATTTCGACTCTTCAAAATTCAAGAGTCAATCCTAAATTGAGGTAAATTGGTAAATTATATGGCCTTCCAAATACCGTTTTGATTCCTAACATCACTGAAAAGACATTAATTGTCGAAATCCGGATATGGTGTACCAATTTTTGCACCTCATGGTTGCGGTATACCATCTTTTCCGCAAGTTTATTGTTTTCTGTTTGGTATTAAATTAATAATTAAGATCCATTTTGTTACATCTGGTGATCCGTTTATTTGTCAATCGCCATGGCAGTCAGCAGTGTTTAAGAACATCCGTTGTTCGACCTGCTAGTCAAAATCGTTTTGTTAAAATATATGTTTTCACTTTTTTGGTCTTTTGGAAAATATTGTTTGTGCTGTATTTAGACCCCTCTACCAAGAAATTTGTTCTGCATGCAGACGTATAAAAATTGCTGTTTTTATCCAACGCAATCATAGGTTTGAACGTTATTTTCAATTTAGACTGGTATATATATATATATACACCATGTATCACCATCACTGCTGGTGATCCGATGGATAAATCTGTTGTAGAGTTGTCACTGGTTCAGTCGTACTTAAAAATATGATTATTTCTGTGACTGTATCTTGCATTAATTTTTAGGATCTTTTACAATAGATATTTCAGCTGATCTGTAGTAATTCCACCTTCATGCCTTATATATCATGTATTGTATTACGACGCTAGATTAAAACTGACGAGGAAAGGTAACACCCGGCCACCGAAAGCTTTATTTTTGTGAAGCCTAGGTGGTCGTGTGGTCTAGCGCGTCAGATACAGTGCAGGCGATTTGGTGTCACGATATCTCAGTAGCATGAGTTCGAATCCCGGCGAGGGAATAACAAAAAATTTGCGAAAGCAAATTTACAGATCTAACATTGTTGGGCTGATGTTTAGACGAGTTGTATATACAGAATGTACACAGCCATGTATCACCATCACTGCTGGTGATCCGATGGATAAATCTGTTGTAGAGTTGTCACTGGTTCAGACGTACTTATAAGTATAATTATTTCTGTGACTGTATCTTGCATTAATTTGTAGGATCCTTTACAATAGATATTTCAGCTGATCTGTAACAATTCCATCTTCATGCCTTATATATCATGTACTGTATTACGACGCTAGATTAAAACTGACGAGGAAAGGTAACACCCGGCCACCGAAAGCTTCATTTGTGTGAAGCCTAGGTGGTCGTGTGGTCTAGCGCGTCGGATACAGTGTAGGCGATTTGGTGTCACGATATCTCAGTAGCATGAGTTCGAATCCCGGTGAGGGAAGAACAAGAAATTTGCAAAAGCAAATTTACAGATCTAACATTGTTGGGCTGATTTTTAGACGAGTTGTATATACAGAATGTACACAGCAATGTATCACCATCACTGCTGGCGATCCGATGGATAAATCTGTTGTAGAGTTGTCACTGGTTCAGACGTACTTTCATATGTATAAATATAATTATTTCTGTGACTGTATCTTGCATTAATTTGTAGGATCCTTTACAATAGATATTTCAGCTGATCTGTAACAATTCCATCTTCATGCCTTATACATCATGTACTGTATTACGACGCTAGATTAAAACTGACGAGGAAAGATAACAACCGGCCACCGAAAGCTTTATTTTTGTTAAGCCTAGGTGGTCGTGTGGTCTAGCGCGTCGGATACAGTGCAGGCGATTTGGTGTCACGATATCTCAGTAGCATGAGTTCGAATCCCGGCGAGGGAAGAACAAAAAATTTGAGAAAGCAAATTTACAGATCTAACATTGCTGGGCTGATGTTTAGACGAGTTGTATATACAGAATGTACACAGCCATGTATCACCATCACTGCTGGTGATCCGATGGATAAATCTGTTGTAGAGTTGTCACTGGTTCAGACGTACTTATAAATATAATTATTTCTGTGACTGTATCTTGCAATAATTTGTAGGATCCTTCACAATAGATATTTCAGCTGATCTGTAACAATTCCATCTTCATGCCTTATATATCATGTACTGTATTACGACGCTAGATTAAAACTGACGAGGAAAGGTAAGACCTGGCCATCGAAAGCTTTTATTTTGTGAAGCCTAGGTGGTCGTGCGGTCTAGCGCGTCGGATACAGTGCAGGCGATTTGGTGTCACGATATCTCAGTAGCATGAGTTCAAATCCCGGCGACGGAAGAACAAAAAAATTGCAAAAGCAAATTTACAGATCTAACATTGTTGGGCTGATGTTTAGACGAATTGTATATACAGAATGTACACAGCCATGTATCACCATCACTGCTGGTGATCCGATAGATAAATCTGTTGTAGAGTTGTCACTGGTTCAGACGTACTTATAAATATCATTATTTCTGTGACTGTATCTTGCATTAATTTGTAGGATCCTTTACAATAGATATTTCAGCTGATCTGTAACAATTCCATCTTCATGCCTTATATATCATGTACTGTATTACGACGCTAGATTAAAACTGACGAGGAAAGGTAACACCCGGCCACCGAAAGCTTTATTTTTGTGAAGCCTAGGTGGTCTTGTGGTCTAGCGCGTCGGATACAGTGAAGGCAATTTGGTGTCACGATATCTCAGTAGCATGAGTTCGAATCCCGGCGAGGGAAGAACAACAAATTTGCGAAATCAAATTTACAGCTCTAACATTGTTGGGCTGATGTTTAGACGAGTTGTATATACAAAATGTACACAGCCATGTATCACCATCACTGCTGGTGATCCGATGGATAAATCTGTTGTAGAGTTGTCACTGGTTCAGACGCATTTATAAATATAATTATTTCTGTGACTGTATCTTGCAATAATTTGTAGGATCCTTTACAATAGATATTTCAGCTGATCTGTAACAATTCCATCTTCATGCCTTATATATCATGTACTGTATTACGACGCTAGATTAAAACTGACGAGGAAAGGTAAGACCCGGCCACCGAAAGCTTTATTTTTGTGAAGCCTAGGTGGTCGTGTGGTCTAGCGCGTCGGATACAGTGAAGGCGATTTGGTGTCACGATATCTCAGTAGCTTGAGTTCGAATCCCGGCGAGGGAAGAACAAAACATTTGCGAAATACATGTATCATCATCACTGCTGGTGATCCGATGGATAAATCTGTTGTAGAGTTGTATACAAGTCTAAATTGAAAACAACGTTCAAACCTATGATTGCGTTGGATAAAAAACGCAATTTTATACGTGTGCATGCAAAACAAATTTCTTGGTAGAGGGGTGTAAATACAGCACAAACAACATTTTCCAAAAGACCAAATGAGTGAAAAAGTATATTTTAACAAAACGCATTTGACTAGCAGGTCGAACAACTGATGTTCTTAAACCCTGCTGACTGCCATTGGCGATTGCCAAATAAACGGA